CAATTGTAGCCTATCAGAAAGACCACAATGTTTCGAGAAAGATTTATAAATCAAGCTTCTAAGCATCAGAGTTATGTTAAGAAGTTCTTAAAGGACAATGCTAAAACAGATGACTCATTCAAGTATAGATGAGAAATTCGATTCTGTTAACAGAATCGATTCAATCATTATGGCGAATCAATTCTTTGCAGCTTTTTTTTCTCCATTAAATTAAAAAATAAATAACAAACATTCTCAAATCTTAAGGTTACTGATTGAAATTAAAAGTGCTGGTTCACATCTATACAAATAAAAAGTTATGAATCTAATAAAAAAGAAGAAAGTTTAAATGGAACAGGAAATTTTATTTATATATATATATAAGATTTTGTGCTGTGTATATAAATTGTAAATGAAATGAAAAATAATTTAGAACAAATTATAACTACTAACTAAATAAAACATGACAGAGTAGCCATAGATTAAATAAAATATTTACAAAATAATAGGTAATTCAAAGTAAAAGTATAAAAAATATATACACATATAAATAAATCAGAAAGAAAAAAAACAGTAATGTAAATAAGCATAGGTTATAAATGAATGAATTGTGAAATGATCATGAGAGAGTAGATTCTGAAAGTATAGAAAACAACACAACTGGACTAAAACATTTCATAGAACCAACTCTGTGAGAATCAGTGAAGAACTGAGAGAGCCTTTTAGCAGCGTCATCGAGAATTGAATCGAAACCTCACTTCAACTTTTTCAGTTCTAAAGAATTAAAATTGACTGATTCAGAGTGAATCGACCGATTCCAAGTAAATCACTTGAGAGTACGATTCTTGATTCATCTTTTCATCTCTACATTCAAATGGAAAAGTGATTAAGCAAAACAAAAAAAAAAATATATGTATATATAAAAAGTGTTTATTAAAAGCTTCTTTTGTAAAACACACAATATCAAAAGGTGAACAAACAAAATTAAGACTGTAAGAAAGCATCAAGTGATCGTTATATTCCAAGCATAAGTGAAAACAAAAAACATAGTCCATTACTGTAATACAGAGACAAAAAATAAATAGGAACTACAAAAAAACTATTTAGCAATTATGAAAACATTTACAAAGAATATAAATAAGAAATAATCCTTAAGATTATAAACAATATCTTTGGAATGAAAAGACATTTTAATAAATATTTTTCAAAAAATAAATAACTATTTACAAGTACTGAAATGTAATTTTTTTTTCTTAATATAATCACAATACATTTACTTAAAATTATATTTTGAAATGACAATAATTGAATGTCAAATTCATTTTTTTTAATAAAATAATTCTTAGAAATGAAGGCTTACTCCAAGGCACTTGAGTCTACAATAGGGATTTTATTCCAATAATAACAAAATTTTGGTAAAAAATGATTATGTATTCCCCTGTATGCCATTCATTAATTATTTAAGTGATGTAAGTAAAACTAGTTTTGATATTATTAATGACTTATATTGAACTTCCTTATAACAGAATTTATTTTATACATTCTAAATATAACCTATTAATATGAAATGATAATCTTATTTATCGTATAAATGGGTTTATTTTGGTCATTAGTACTAAAGACATCAAATAGTCTTTTGTAAGGCATGTCTTGTTCTTACATTAAGACCTCATAGGCATGATTTCTCAGAGTATTTTTAATGGTCTTGCCAACCATTTTCAAGTTCAATTGTCAAACATCTTAAAGTTTCTGAATCTGTATTTTCCACCAAGAATATTATAAAGTACAAACAATTGTTGTTCCTTAGAAATAATAGACAATGAATGAAAATTTTGTTTTTCTGAGCAATGAATTACTAAAATATGCTGAAAAAACAACATTAATTACGTAAGGAATTTGCCATCTTAAGCTACTTGAACTTTCATGATAACACATCAGTTTCAGGATTAACCTAAACTTCATATTCCTCAGAAAAAAATAACTTCATATTTTCATAACAGTTTTATGGAAAATTATAATGAGAACTCATGTCTCTGTGATCGTGTTATAATGACTTTAATAAATGTATATATTTCTTTTTTTAACGAGTATGCAAGTATTTTTAGTACTTTTCTTTATAGGAATATATATTTTTATTAATAAACAGAGCAAGACGAATTTTATCATTACATGGCACATCTTTTTAAAATTTAAAACATCTGTTTAAAGTTTAATGGAAACATTTTATTTCTTGACTACGAAATTTGATTTTGGTAAGAAATAGCACAAAATTAAATAAGAAATCATCTGAAGATGAATGCTTTACATGTAAATTATAAGCAGATGACAGATTTCTAAACTATTGTTTATTTAATAGTTATAACTATATTTGTTGATATAATTGAATTTGTTAATTTATTTTTTAAACTTAAATTTTGAAACTATTTCAAGTATGTGAAAATATATTTTTTCGTTCAGTTCACTGAAATATACTAAATTTGTAATAAAAAAAAAAAAAAAAAATGAAGTTTATTTTAATGAAAATCTTTCTGAAAAGAATAAGTTAATTTTATGATGTTTTTATATTTTATTTCTATACACGTTCTATTTTTGTTCCAAAAATATTGAGTAGTCCTACAAAACTACTAAAATTCACATTGGTCTAAATCATGAAGGAATAAACGAATCCTTTTTAAGATGAGTTTGGACATTTGATAAACTAGGGTAAATGCACCAGTAGCTGAATGATTAAGAAATTTCTTTGAATTTTTACGTCTAAAAACTTAAATATTGATGTGATTATATTTTTCTTTGATTTGTCTTATAGAATTATTTCTCACCTTACCAAGATATATTTCAAATCCATGAAACATTCCCCAAAATTTAAAATTAATAAAATAGTTTTTTTTGAACCATTAGCTGACACTTTGATTTGGAATGTTTCTATAGCTGACAGGGATATGATAAAGAGAAATTTCATATTCTTCATTTTAAGATTAACAAAAATTACATTTAACTTATTAAAAAAACTAACTTCTTGCGTTTTCTGACAAAAATTTAACAATGACTACTGGTTCACTGTCAAGAATATGTTTTTGGCAATAGGAAAACCTATTTTTGCTTTGAATTTAATCCAAATCATTAGCATTTTTTTTTTTTTTTTTTAGACCTGCTATATTCAGTATATTTCTTAGAATTTATGGGAGTAAAGGGCTGTCAACTACTGGGAAAATCCCCATTATAAGGCTCCAGTAGCTATTAAATATCCAATTTCTTCATCAAGATAAGTTAAAAATGGATTAAACATAATTTAAAAACACTAGAAAAACAATCAAACTAAAATTTTGGGATAAATCCGAGTATTTAAAGAGAAAAAGGCAAACCTGAGGTATGGCGCTCTTATTGACAGATAGTTGTTCCTGGAACACTAAGTGGACCGTGAGGGACCTGCCTAATTTGTCATTCATTTTTTTGGTTGCAATTTCCGGTAAGACTAAAGCAAAGCAGACAAATATATCAGGAGAAAATATAGAAGTTAATTTTTTTTAAAATATAGGTCCAGGAGATCCTGAAATTTTATTATTCCCATTTTTCGAGGAGGATGTCAGATATTGGTACACTATCAGCTATTGGTGCTTTTACCCTATAGGAAAAAAACATTTAAACATTTGTGTTTCCCATAGTCTGTGAAATGTCTAAACGCACCTTTGAACTGACAGCATTAAATAGCAATGATGCCTTCTATATAAGAGCTTATGATCAGAACAATTTTACGCTGATAACTAAATAATGATATGTATCACATAATAAGTTTTAAATACTACTACAATTATTAAAAACACTATAAACATTCATTCATCTAAACATATTCGTGTTAATACAGATAGTAACAATAATCAGATGATAGAATCTGTCTGTCATAAAATAATTTAAAAAAAAAAATTAAATCTAATTCACTCATAATAAATGTTATAAAAATATATTCGACAAATAATCTAGTCGAAGAATACAAACATTATTTCACTTTAATAAGTTGTACTGAATATTAAGATATTAAAGGACCAGTATAATCAATGAATTTATTAAAAACAGTGAATAAGACACTTAAATACACATTGATTGGAATGTTTCGATATTTTCATGTTTTACACAGCTAACTTATGATTATACATTAGAAATACACAGTTATAGTTTAAGAGATACAATTTTTTCAAAAATAATTTATTTCTCAAAATGTTTTAAATGATGGCACTTATTTATAAAAGAACCTCCATAAATTTATAATAGAATACATAAATAAGGTACAGTTCCGGCGTGAATGTAGTCATAACCTAACATGTATGTAAAAACACATGTCAAGGGTGGCAACCATGATGATTATTTTAATCTGACCATATATTGATTTTTTTTTTTTGTTTATTTTTTTTTAATTCACACTTGTCATAATGGTAATGACAACAAGTGAATGTGAGGTTGATTCGAAAAAAATAATGTCATGAAAGCCATTACGAGGATCAGTACCCAGCGGCACCTCACTCGGCGTGATATACCATATATTGATTAAATTAAATATATTATTGACACAACAATAATATATAATACACATTATATGCAACTTTGTTTTGGATTTTTAACAATATATTTCTCAATTAAAAATTTGATCCTTGAAAGTAAACAAGTGACACATCTGATCTGATTGATCAATCATGATTGTAATTTCAAAATGGGTGAACCAAAAAATATTTTCCTTAACTTTTCTGTTTTGAACAGTAATGCTACAAGATGAAAGTAAGTATTTGATTTAAAAAGAGATACCTTAATTTCTAATTATAATTAAACAATACGATAATTATAAGTGATGAGCAATGTTTTTTTATACTAAAAAATAATTTATAAAAATATATTTTTGATATAAATTACCACATGGAATGCTTTGGCAAATGAGTAAAAATAATCTCAAGAGTTGAAGAAAAAATCTCAGGTAATACAATAAGGTGATAAGTAATAACTAGAGATTCGGTTTTTATGCAGTTCTTTGCTTATTCTTTTTTTTTTTTTTTTAATCTAAATATTTTTATACAATAACACATAATAAACATTTATATTTTTAACACTTTTGAATAAATGTATACAAGAATATTTTTATAAAACTCTAAACTTTTTAAAAATATGTATTTCCAATGAGATCTGATACACCAAACTCGAGCAATTCCACTTTTAATTTTTTAAAAATAAATTATTCTCTGAAATGCCTCGTATCTATAGTTAGAAGGATTTTTTTCAAAACCTCTTACAACCAGGTTAAAGGAGCCGACCGAATTTCTCTGTACGCTAAACCTTGTCAAGTCCTTAATATCACTGTTGTACGCTCAAGGCACCACAGAGACGTAATAGAATTTAACTTGTCTTGTTATAAGTTCATTTGATTGTAATCACTTGAAGACAGTCATATACACTATACTTTCATGAATATTTTCCAGCAATATTTGTATATTTTTTAATAATAATAATAATGAATTTAGCAGAAAAAAAGCTAAGAATACATAAAACTTTTGTTAAACTGTTTTAATAACCTCAATATAAAATTTATTTGATATTTAAAATTAACATTAATATGGAAACATATTTTATTTCAATATTTCAATTAATTTGAAGCAATTGTTATACTAAAACAAACACAAAATTTCAGATTTGTGATAATTCTAAAATTTAGATGACATCATGAAATTTCAACTGCTTGCTCATACAACCCATTTATTTACCAGTTAAGCAGAAAAATCAATCCGTTTTCTTATAAATTTGCTTTTATCTTTTCTTTTACAAAATTTTGAAAATTGGACTAAACAGGGTTTGGTCTAATAGGTCCAAATTAAATTATTGAAGTTGTATCATCGACCTAAAAACACCTAGCTATATTTTCTTCTTTTTCTTCAACAAATTTTCATTATATCATTATGTTAAAGCGTTTTAATGATAACATTTTCTAATAAAAATAATTTTGAAAAATATATTTTGACAATTTTAAAACTTTCGCCACATATTTTTTTAACTGCATAAAAGTCAAATCTCTAGTAATAACTAAATGAACTATAATCTAAACCATTCAAACATAAATAATGTACAATAGAAAAAGGTAAGAAATAAATACAAAATATCCATTTCAGAATGAATAAAAGTTATTGAGATAAATTAATTTTGACACTAAATAGTAATTCTACCAAAATAAATTTTGTTCCGTTGATATATTATAATCAAAATGAATAAATTAGGAGTTAGAAAAGCCTAAAATAAAATGCTATTATTACGGAAGTATGGACTATTTAAAATAATTCTTAAAACTAAAATAGAAAAAATATATAAATTAAAAAAAAAAAAAGACTACACTTCTACAACCTTTGGTTTTGTGTTTAAAGTTAAATATTTTGACTAAAACTTAAGTGACTAATAATTGGTGCAGCTAAAAAGAAAATTCATATTTCTACTTACAAGATTAATGAATTTATATACTCGAAAATATATGATTTTTTTATCACAACTCCAAAAGAAAAAAAAATTATATTTTCAAATAGAAAGTTAACAGTTCTTGAAAGCCAAATATATGTATACAATATTTCATTTAAAAAATATAAAATATTTAATAAATTTGAAATCGAGCCGATTGTTTTTTTTTTAATCAAGAACAATATACCATTAACTGAACTTATGATATGACCACAAAAGGTATTACCAATATCATTGGTGATTTTTGCTCACAAGGTGACTATTGAAGTCGTAGACATTTGCAGTTTGATCGCCGCATATGTTGCACTTCCAAGGGCTGGCTTCTGAGTGACAACCTTTGTGAAGAAGATACAAAGTCGAATCGGGAAAAGTTATGCCACAATATTGGCAAGTTTGATTGAGAATTGACTTCAAATGTACAGGTTCTGGAGCTCTTTGACTAGAAGTTGGGGCATTAGAATCTCCGGACTGCGGGGACCCGCTAGGACTCTCGGCACACTCATCATCAACAACCTACAAGATACAATAATCTCTCTTTAATACATAATGAAACAAAAATAGTATTTGCACGATATAGAATAAATATTAATAATACTTATAAGTTACTAAATGGGTAATAAGATCAACACATTATGTTTTTGCTAATCCTGGTCCAGTTTAGATGATTTTTTTTTTTAAAACAGAGATTATATTGTCGGTTTACTGCAAAAACTCACCGAGCACATTTTTGATAGAGCCGAACTTTTAAGAATTAGTTGGGCCGAATAATGGGCACAGTATATTGTTTAGTTAGTTCCAATGAAAAAAAAAAAAAAAAAACAGAAATGCAAATATTTATGAATTTCATGCAAATATCATTACTTTTTGATATTTTTTTTTTACTTTTTTCTAAGCAATATATGAAAAGAACTTGAAGACTTTTTACAGTTTCATCAAAATTGAGTTGTTTTGGGTGATACAATCAGTAAAAAAAAACATGTTTTTTTAAGTATAATAAAGAAATAGAAATTTTTTTTTCTTCTCCTTAATTGGAACTGTTATCTAACACCATACAATACTACTGTTGCTATTCTATACTATAATCTAAATAACTTTTTAAAAATCGATAAGTAGGAATATTATTTCAAAATACTAACCAGCTGAGGGGAAGAAGGCGATTGTGGAAGAGAAATTTCCACATGGGGAGTCAAAAAATGCATTGGAGGTGTAACACTCTCTGCCACACGTTCTGTATTGTAACCTGGTTGATCTAAATCGATGCCATGTCTAAAATAAGAGCAAAATTAATTATTTGTAATATAATTTAATTTAAACAACAAATATCAAATAAAATTTCAAGTTACCTGTGATGAAAGTGAACTCGTAAACTTTTCATTGACGCAGCAGTAAAATCACAGAGCGGGCATGTCTTTATTGGAGCATCGCCTTGCTGGACATGCTCGTTTTGAAAATGAGCTCTCATAGCAATCTGCCTTTGGAATCCTCTAAGGCAAATAGGGCATTTAAAGAGATTAGCTTTTGCATGCGTTGTCGAATGTTCCTGTAAGTGATCCTTACGAAAAAACCTCTTCCCACAAATCCGACATTCGAATGGTTTCACTCCAGTATGCCTCATTTTATGCCTTCTCATATTTGCTGAATTAGAAAACTTCATTTGGCACACATCACACTCATACATTTTTGAGCGGGATGTACACATAGCCATGTGAGTAAGCAGGGCTGTGTGTGAGACACTTTCATAGTCACATCTTTCACACCTATTAAAAAAAGGGAATAAAATCATCATTTATTTTTAAAACTTAATTAATAAAGAGTAGTGATAAATAAGGAATATATTATCATTTATTATTCTATAAGAAAAATAAATTCTTAATGCTGATTAGTATCCTAATTTTACAACTACAAGTGGAAACTACAAAAAAAAAAAAAATCTGGTGTGCAACATACAACTTTCACTTACCGATCTACTATGGATAGAAATTATTTTCTAGCAATGCTGGGCTATTATAAAATTTTTTGAAGTGCATTTTAAACGGAATAACAGCTTAAAGCTTACAGATAACAAGTCATTGAGACCATTACAATTACAAAATGTCAATTTAATATATCGACGACAGGCAATAAAAATCTAGTCACTCCATCTGCTTTTATAAACCACACAGCTTTCTTTGCTTTTATAAACCTCAGAATGACTAACTCCAATTTCAACATTTTTGAGTGATGTCATTTTAGTGATATTTTTAGTTGCAAAAGTTATCTATGTAGAATATGAGTAAGTTAATTCCGGAGGTGGTGATTGCAGTGTTGAAATATAGAACTGAGAATAAAGGTATAAATTTAGGTACTTATTTCTAATGAAAGATACTTTATTAAATATCTGTAGAAAAAAGATTTTTTTAGTCTCAACAATTAAAAAGGATATTTTAAATTTATCCAAATTTGCGCCTCTTCAGGGAAAAAAACTAGAGACCATATCTTTCCTCCTAATTTTCCTATCTTAACTATTTTTTTTTTGTTTTTTTTTTTAGGAAATTCCATAAACTTTTAAAAAACCATGTACAATATCTCCAAAAAAGTGTATACTTTTTGAGTCATTCGGAATTTAATTTTACCATCCCTCGTAACTTTTTTTCCAGCTTCTTTTCGTTGAAGTATGTTATATAGATAAATTTAAAGGGTGTCGAGAAAATGACTTTAGCGAAGTTTCATTGAAATCGGTACATTCGTTTACGCTACAGTCTATAGCAACGCAGGTTTTTCTGCATTTTTATTTTTTTTCTCCTTCATTAACTTATCAAATTCTTTCAAAAGTTATATTTAGCATTTTTTTGTAACTTTGAATAATGTGAAATGATTAACTTTTTAAAATAAACCATATTAAAGGTATTTTAGAGGAAGCGGTATATGAACATTGAGCATTTAAGCCCTGTAAAGTGACATCAATGGAGATAAGACCTGATTGATATTAAAGACCACTTAATTATACAATGATACACCGAGTTTAATCAAAATCGTTAGAGCCGTTTTAAAGAAAATTGTGAAAATGTGTTTCAGCGTTGATATAAAGTGGTACTTCCGGTTAGCCGATTTTAAGGAAAAAGTTGCCGTCACATCTAAGGCATATACCTATCTTAAATACGTAATATCAGTTTCGTAGGACTTTTCGTTTTTGAGTTAGACTGTTAACATACAAACACACAGACCATTTTTCGGGACTTGGTCATTTCGACTCAGGGTACCTCAAAACATGTAGTTCCGTTGAAAACTCAGATTAAAAAATTTTCTCGATCACAATACTTACCCTTGCTATATATTACATATATACATAAGTGAAAGTAAAAAACTTGATTGTTATTAAGGATGTAAACAACAGAAAATCCTTCGAATCAAGCATTCAATCGTTTAGAAAAGAAGACAGTTCCATGATTTTACAAGGCGGAGATTCTGGTACGATGATCTGGCCACTTTGATATTTTTTTTATAAGGTAGGAAACCCAGATGAGTTTATAATACCAAGAGCAGAACCTGGTTTGGACTCAACCATACCCATCAATATTTGTTAAGAATAATGTTCTTCAATTCTTAACAGACTTAAGAACATTAAAGCTCCAGACGAAGATGGAATTCCAGCTGATCTCTTTAAGAAGTGGTGAGAAATTTTAGAAAGGGTGCTTCATGATTAGAAGAAAGGCATCATTTACCCACTGCACAAGAAGAAAACCATTCTGGATTTCTCAGCATACCTTGGGATATCACTTCGTCTGTATGCTTACAAAAAAAAAAAAAAAAATAACCTGTACCACTAACGACCCATAAAGAGTGTTGGGTTCAGAACAATGCGAGGAAGTACTGTTACAAGGCCAACGGTGGTTGTGCAGGAAGGTGACGGGCCAATATCGCACTCAACCGCCAGGTTTTCCCCCTTAATTAATTATTTAATTAAGGGTACCTACTTTATAGAGGCTGGGTGTGCCCCAGGAGTGTCTCCCGACCCCAGGGTCCCACAGCTGATGAAAAATTACTAGTCATCAGCTGGATTCGAACCTGAGCTCTGGAAGTCAGTGTTCACCCACTGAGCTAACCTGCTCCCTGTGTGTCTACAAAGCTCATGGGAAAATCTTCGAAAATAAGTTCTTCCTTATTGCTGAGAGAGAAATTGGTAAACATCAGGAGAGTATCAGAGGATGATGATCCTCAGGCATCAGATATTAGGCCTACTGATAACAGGGGATAAATCTCCTGAGTATGAAAGGATAAGAATCTATCACTTGATTATTGATTTTCAGCCTACAACAACCTTCACCACTACAACCCCTGAAAGGTCTTGGGTTCAGTACTTTGTAAGGAAATACTATTTCAAGCCCAATGGTTATGCCAGAGATCACACTCAACCGCCAGGTTTCCCCCTTAATTATTTAATTAAGAGTAATCACTTTATACAGGCTAGGTATACGCCAGGAAGGTCTCCTGATACCAGGATCAACCCATGGCTGATGAAACAGAATAAATGTTTACCTGCATGCCACAGCTCAAGCCCAAAATCTTAAGTATAGAAAGTCAGTGATGACAACTAAATTATCATCATACTCCTAATGCTTCAAGGATTAAAAGCATGAAAACTCAATGCAAGGTCATAACCAAAAGAAAATATTAGAAAAAAAACTGTACCGCTACAACTCATGAAGGGTCTTGGGTTCAGTACTGTTTCAAGGCCAACGGTTGTGCAGAAAAGGGATTGGGCCAAGATCACGCTCAACCGCCAGGTTTTTCCCCTTAATCAATTATTAAATTAAGGGTACGCACTTTATAGATGCTGGGTATGCTTCAGGAGGGTCTCCCTATCCCAGGGTCGCTCCACGGCTAATGAAACAGAATAAATAATTTGTCTGCCATGAGCCGGGATTCGAACCTGGGACCTTTAGCATTGGAAGCTGAGTGCCCTACCACTAAGCTATCACGCTCCCTAAAAAAATAAATTATTAGAGTACTTAATTAACAATTATAGTCTTACCTATGAGTTGGTATTTTGCCTTCTGAAGAATCATAATTAGTATTTAATCCTGATTCTGCATTATTTATTTCTTCATTATCACATTCATCCTTGCAAATATCTTCTTCTTTGAAAGTTCTAGAATCTACATCAGAAGTAGATTCTTCTTTAATGCTATCGTTATCATCTTCCGCCATGATCTAAAACATTTCATATCAATTAGAATACCTTATAACAAAGAATGAAATAAAAACAATTTTATTCGTCCCAACTGACAATAATAACCATCTTCTCTAATTCTTAATATTATTAAGAACAGTACAGCTAATATGGGATGTGGTTTTGTTATTATTACAGAGATGATATGGAAATCTGTGACCAGTCAATTTATCTTTGGATGAAATATTCTTGTTGCCTCTTGGACTAAGTTATGCAGACATGAATTCAGGAGTTCAAACTAAGATATCAAATAAAATTTGGGATGGTATTTTAAAGGTGTGTCAGGTAGTTCAGGATCATGACAATCGAACACCACATAGAATCCTGAAAGTAGCAGTTTGTCCAGAATAATATGGAGACTCTTGCTGGAAAAGGTCTCGCCTTCAAATGAAAAGGACCCTTAGGGGTTTTTTAAATCCCTTGAATGGAGTGTAACATCAATTTCTTTAGATTGCGATTAAAGACTTCTGCTTTATTTTATTTAAACTTCTAGTCTAACAGGTCCTTTTCAGTTGATGTTAGGGCATTAGCAGCCTGTCTGGACCCTACATTCAGCCATCCTCAGAATTTCAATTATAGCGTGATCACAGGATCTTGTGCTACTCATCAAAGTAGTACCGTATTATGTATGTAATGTCAGAGAGTTAGGAATAAAACAAATAATCATGGTCTAACTATATAAACTTATTCACAACTTTCATGCATCAAAACAAATACTTTTATAGCCAATATCAAACATTCTTAACATACATCTCAAAGTTTATTTGGTACTAGTTCACTATTGATCCACACTGATTAGACGTTGTCCACAATCACTTCGATCACACTTTTTCATGGAATGCCGATAACAGTAAAATGTTATATAACGTCAGCTCTTTTGTCTCAATCAATCGATTCTTTTTCATGCAATTTTTAAAAAACCCACCTAGTTCTACCTCTTGTGAAGTAATGTCAAGTTATTTGTAACTGAATCATGAGATTGATCACCTTCATACTCTTTCAGATAAACTCTGGTACTTTCGGCATACCATAAACAAGTATGATCGAAGTGATTTTGAACCACACCTAATTCATGCAGAACTGTTGCGGACTAGTACCATTTATTTAAATACAACTAGTAAAATCACATTCAACAGCCGTATGGGAAAATAACTGAATGATACAGATTAATACCAATAACTATTGTTTACTATGAATGAAAAAATTAAATGAAATAAAGGAACAAAGTTATTGTTAATGACTAGGTTGGCAATCCACACTCAGTGATTTCGAGGATAGTTCAAAAATACTTTGTTAGAGATAGATCAAAATTACTTTACACTTATCAGAAAATCACATTTTCTTTAAATATAAATCCTAACTGGTAAGATATGATATGATAGCAAAATTAACAAATTACAAAACCCTAAATTGTTCATACATAACATGAGTTAATTGATACATACCCAATCTTTCCAATTATCTTCTCTGACACAATATTTCATTTGAAAACAAATATAGGTTCATATATGTATGCCCTAGATCCCATTAGTAGCAAAATGAGGGCAAACCATTATAATGGTTATCACTAATGCAAATATAAACTTCATTCACATGGTATCTTTGGTTATTATAGAGGGTTTATCTATTAGTAATCACTTAAAAATTACATAAATTATCACTGACCGTAAATACTTTGTACAACTACTGACCTACTCTGAACTGACAGCAAACCGACCCAAAACAACATACCCTGTTTACAACCTAACCTAACTTGGGTAGCCATATTATGGAGTGCTTAAATAAAAAAAAAATAAAAAATGATAAAAAGTCAGATGAGAAATCATCATTTTAAAAAGAATAACAGAATTATCAAATATTCCAATGTCGAAGCAAAGCACAGTTTATTTCATAGACACAAACAACTACTAAATATTTATGCATTATACGCTCAAGAAATAACATTAAAATATACATGAATAATAACATCAGAACTATTTAATTATAAAGTATAAAAAATACTATTTAATGAAAACATATAAAAAAATATTATACAACTTTAATATTAAAAACTTTCACCTATTGCACAGATTTATTAGTTAAAAGACGTGCCAGTTATCAAGAAGCCAGTAGCTGCGGTAGTGTTCACTTCACGTTCTGTTTCTAGGAAAGGCTTTAAGTTAATTCTATTTTTTTTTAATGTTTCACACTATATATTGTAATCGCGGATTGATACTTGAATCTGCATCAATATGGGCAAGACGAAGAAAGGCCGAAAGGTAGAATGTGATGACGATATGTAAGTTTCACTCAGTTCAATCTGGAAGTTTTATTTTAACCTGTATAACTTTAACCTCCTATCCCTGAAAATTTAAGCAAATAACTAAATAAACGATATATAAGTGTATAAAAAAGATATTTTATTAGTCTTACTTGACTGCAGTTGGTCCTGAAATATCTATCATAAATTTTAATTTAATTTTCATCAATACACAGTCAATCATTGCTTTCAGAGCTTTTACCCTTCTTATTTTCAATTTCACGTACTATTTCTTATTCCATACCTTCATAAATAAGTATGCAATATGTTAAAAGCCTATATCGCATTTTCTCAAAGCAACTTTAATAATAAGTATCTTGTTTCTCTAGTGAACCATCTGGAGTTGAAAAAGAAGTTGAAAATGATGTTGCAACTTCTAAATCGAAAACGAAAAAGGAGAAAAAGTAATAACATACCTTTATGATCTGAAATATATTGTTTGTTGTTTATTTTAATTTGATTTATGGCCTGTGTTGTAGGGCAGTAGATTTAGATTCAGATGTTGAAGAAGATACATTTAAAAAAAAGAAAAATAAAAAATTAGGAAAAGTACATGATGACACTGATGATTTAGTTGATGACGTTCAAGAACTTTCTTTGAATGCTAAAGGAAAAAAGGATAAAAAGAAGGTAAAATATTTGATATTGAATATTTTTGGCAATACTTCGTATAAGCTACCCTAACTTGGACTTAGATTCTCCAGTAGTGAAGCCTGACTGCCGGTCAAATGACTTAAGATGTGGGTTAAGGTTAAGTTACGCAGTTAAAGTTTATTGTGACAATTATTTGGTATTAAAATCATTGTTGTAATTCAAAGTTGGACTTAGATGACCGTTGGATTTGAGCTTACTTTGCTTGCTTAAGAGGTTAACAAACCTGTGAGACATCTTTTGCAGTTGAAGCCGACTTACCAACTTTTGACAGTCAGGTCTGATTGTTGGAGACCGTCTTCCATTTTCGTGTAGCTTATGTCAAGTGATACCATATTTTTAGTGTGTTTATAAATCTTTTCTATAAAATATTTCACAGATTGTTCATAAATATTTTATAGAAAAAACTATTCAATTCAAATTATTTCAATAAGGTTTCTTATTTGCGCATTATTTCATAATAACTATCCCCCACTTCTTCCTCAACCAACTTCTGTAACATATATCCTCTGAATTTAATATTTTGTCCACTATGAGATATTGCATGAATTTGAAAATTAGTTTTGAACACAACTGCTTAGCATTAACATTTTTCTTTAGACATAAATTAAAAGAGACTTATTTGAATATTACAAATTGAATACATTAAAATTTTATATTTATCATCAAACATTTCTTTTGTTTATCATCACCAAAAATAATTTTTTCCATTTCCAGAAGTATCTTGTCTTTATAATTATTTTGAGATTTATGTTAGTTGTCATAGCTGGCAAAATTATGAAATTTTCTTGAAACATTGCAAGTTACGATTTTCAATAATTATCAGCTGGGTTTCTTTTTGTATTTAAGCCTTTTTATTAAGAACAAGAGCAAGAAGTTGATAAAAAATGTTTAGCAATATCTAATATTAATCAATACCTTAGGTTTAAAAATGGGATGTGTTTAGTGGTAAAAAATTTCTAACATGTACAGTGATGGAAAAAACTATTTGCACATCATGTTTTTATGAATAAATGAGTTCAAGGAACCAAAAAACTTCGCTTTCCTCTGCAAAAATGAAAAGTACATTTGTTAAAACCTGAGAAAAACCTTTTGGAAAAAAATAACAACACTACATAATGAAACAAAAAAATTAAAACAATAAAAGTGCTTGGAAAAAATTATTTGCACACTATGACTCACAAGCTCTGTTTACTTTGGCATTAATCCTCCTGTGCCCATACGTCATAGGTTTGTTTACTAATTTATCTCTAATCGTTTATTACCAGTATTCTCTAGTCTTTCAATTAGTTTCCTTTAGTCAATAGACAATTATCATGCCAAAGACAAGTGAACTGTGTCCCTCAACTCGCGAACAAATTGTTTTACTGAGGAGTCAGCAAAAAACATATCGCCAAATTGCCGATTTCTTAGGGTTGAATTTTTCAACAGTGAGATGCGTCTTAAAAAGGTATGAAGAACTTGGTTCAACTGAAAACAGTGAGTGTAAAGGGCGTCCAAAAAAGTTAACTCCCAGGCGGAAGAGGAAAATCAGAAAAGAAGCTCTTAAAAGTCCTCTGATAAGTTCTCGGGAGCTGGCTACCATGGTCCAATCAATGTCTGGAGTTCATATTACTAGCATAACAATTAGATATGCCATAAATTCGGAAGGGCTCCATGGTAGAGTTCCAAGAAAGAAGCCATACATCAGTGAAACGAATCGCAAAAAGCGCCTTGCAAGCGCAAAAAGGGAGTACGTACAGAAACCCTTAAGCTTTTGGGAAAATGTCATATTTTCTGACGAAAGCAAATTTAATTTGTTTGGTTCAGATGGTTGAAGGACGATATGGCGACATCGTAATGAAGCTCTAAAGAAGCAAAATGTTTTAACAACTGTAAAGCATGGTGGAGGACATGTTATGGTTTTGGGGGGAGTTTCCTACCATGGTGTTAGAAATCTTGTGAGCATCGAAGGCATTTTAAATGCGGAAGGCTATGTGAACATTTTGCGACATAATTTGCATCGTAATTTGCGTTTTAGTGCCGAAAAAATGGGAATCCAGGATCAGTACTATTTCCAGCAGGACAACGATCCAAAACATACTGCGAGGAGAACAAAGGAGTGGTTAATAATTAATGTTCCAAAACAGCTTCACACTCCTCCTCAGTCACCAGATATAATTATCATTGAAAATTTATGGCACACCCTTGACCAAAATGTAAGAAAACACCATATCACTAGTGGACATCACCTTAAACAACTTCTTGTTCAAGAATGGGAATAAATAAACGTAGATTTAATTAAAAACCTAGTGCATTCAATGCCCAGACGTCTACAAGCAATTATTGACGCAAATGGCCTATTTAAAAAATATTAAAACTATTAAAATTTAAAATAAACTTGTAAATGTGGAAGTGTGCAAATACTTTTTTCTTCTTACATTAAAAGTACATCTTGTACGACGGTATAGCAAATCCACCAAGAAAACGCAGAAACAGATTTATGAAACAAAGAAAACTTATGTTGTCAGCATACAAAAACTTTTTGCCAAGAAAATATAATGATTTTATGATAAATTATTTATGCAGTGCCTGTGAATAGGAGTTGCAATTTAGTCAATTTCTAGTTTTATATACTGTTGTTATCATGGGTCCATTATTTTTTTAATTTTCTTCAAAAAAAATAATGCAGATCTTCAAAGCAATAATGTTATGTTTGAACTGAGATTTGAGAACGAAAACCAAAACAGAAGAATAGCTTACTGAAACATTAACATTATTTTAGCTAAGGTTGACATAAGTTCTAAGGAATCACAGAAGTTTATTTCATTTTAAATATTTACTCTCAATATTATTCGGTCTCAGATTACTTATGACCTATCATCGTACTGGGATAATATCGAGTTTATCACCTGGTTATGGGAATACTCCGTAGGAAAAACCTATTCAGTTTACCACCTAAAATTGAATACTGTTTTGATGATTGTATCATTGCATACTTTTTTTTTTGCCTAAGTATATCAGTAAAAATTAAGTGTAGTTGTATAATGAACGTGGGATCATTTTTACTCCCTAAAAACTCAGAAATGTCTAGAACAATAAAAACAATTAGAAATATTAAGCTTAATATTATTAATTTATTAAATGATAATATATCAAAGGTCTGAAAATTGATAATATTATAATAAATAATAATAATAATAATATTATTTTATTATCCGGGATCATATAGAAGGCATGTTCTTAAAGACGCAACAACTACTGATAAATGTCGATTATGCTCAGCGACGCTGGAATCAATCCAACATGTCACAGGTGGGTGTGGAGTGTTGGCTGGAACCGAGTATCTCCAGAGGCATAACAATGTGGCTAGAATTTTTCATCAGGCTCTGGCGGTGAAGTTCAACTTGTTAGATGACAAAACTCCATATTATAAATACCACCCAAATAAACTCCTCCAAAAAGGTAGTCTCAAGCTCTACTGGGATGAATCGATAATAACTGACCATACTGTGCGTCACAATAAACCAGACATCCTTCTGATAGACATGAGAGAGAAAAGAGCAGAGCTTATTGATGTCGGGATCCCCAATGATAATAATATAAGCTCCACTGTTGGAGAAAAACTGAGAAAATACCAGGAACTGGCAATCGAACTGAAGGAATTATATCATTTGGGGAACGTCACCACCACTCCAATTATAATATCTTCCAATGGATTAATACCAAAGACAACAGTGGCAGGCACGATGGGATTAAAATTACCTCTTGAAGTGCTGAAAGAGGCTCAGCACTCAGTTCTCTTGGATACGGCGCGTATTGTTCGAAAGTTTTTAAATATCTAAAAAGTAATAGATATTAATCTGAAGTGGCTGGACTTCTGGTCTCCCACCTCAGAAACTTACCCCGCAAAGCGAGAATAAAGAATGGAAATAATAATATTATTATTTTTTATTATTTATTATTAATTTATTAAATGATAATATATCAAAGGTCTGAAAATTGATAATATTATTGTTTACTAATTGTAGAAATTTCTTTTGTTGCAAACTGATCGTGATCTTGTATGGTTTCAAAGAGTTCATTAGTCATCATATTCTACTTCTTGATACTCCTCTAATTAAAAATTTATATTTAATATGTAATCTTAGTTGATCAGTAATTGAGGAACCGTTGGTGGGTTGTAGGGCTGCTGTTTGTGATCTGCTAACTTTTGAACAAAAATATTTTGCTAATTCATGTTTACTTAACAGGGAATTCTTTGTAAAAAAACTATCAAGCTCACACCTCATGTTCCAAAACTTAAAAATTATAATTTACAAAACCATTATTCTACTTATGGTTCTTTATGGGTGTGAAACATGGCTGCTTAAATTAAGACATGAGCAAAGTCTGATAGGATATTAGGACCAAAGAAGGATGAGTCAAGCAGAGAATTTAGACGGTTATAAAATGTCAAATTGCGTGAAATATATAAGATTAATATAATTGAGGTGATTACATTATGGTGAATCAAATTATTGGGCTTAGTAACAAAAGAATCCCTAAAATCCCTCTGTAGACTGATAAACATCCTAGGTATTGACTGAAGCAAATGTGGGGAGATTGTGTTAAGAGTGATCTGGGAGCACTGGGTTTTGAAAGCGACCAGTGGAGGGAGGTGTGTAGACAGTGATTGGTGGTATCGTCATCGAACCTTCGGGCTTGCTAAGCCTTTTTTCATTATTAATTCTTGTTAAATATAAATTATTTATTATTTCTCTATTTGTTTTTAAAATGTATTAATTAATGACATATGATAACAATAGAACTGAATTTTTTTCTGTAATTTATTTTTATTTTGAACAATATTTCGGTGGCTTGAAAATTTGCACAGAAATTTTTTAAATAAGTTTAATATCAATTCCCAGCTTATTTTTAATCAAAAGCTATTTTATCTTAGAGCAATTATATCAAAAGGTTTTGATAAAAATTGAGAAAAAACAAAAAAGGCATTATGTGAGGCTGTCGAGATTCAGTTAGCTTCTTTTTTTTCTTTCTTATAATACGTTATTCAAGTTTTACCTTTTAGTAGTTTGTAAATTATGTTATTATAATAACTCAACTTTAAATATGAATTGAATATTATAATGTTTTGAATCAGTAATATCAATTAACTATTTTTTTATATTTTTACTTCAAAGGGCAAGAATGTTCAGGACGCAGATGAAGAGCGGTCTAAAAAAGCACCTTCTAAGAAGGGTAAAAACCGCGGGTCGGATTCAAGTGATGGTGAAGAAGAACCTGTTGCCAAGACTGAAAAGAAGAAAGGAGGATTTGCTTTGCTAGCCATGTCCGATGATGAAGTCGACAAAAGTGATGATGATGTCGATGAAGATGATGAGGAAGTCAAGGAGGTGGAGATTAAACCAGAAGTCAAAAAAGAAAAGGAGAAAGATAAGAAAGGTTCTTAGATATTTTTAATTTACTTTTACGCTTTTTTAAGTTCAACCTTTATAACCAAACTGTTACACCCAATTTCAAAATATTATTAAACTTAACTTTAATTAAATTTAAACTTTTCTTATTTTATTTTTCTCCCACTTTACACAATACATTGGAGAATGAGAAATATGATTTTAAGAAATAGGGATTGTTATTTTAAATTTACATAATAAAAAATTATGATTGTTGAAATTTTTATCTTTATGATTTATCTGGATTGCGATCTTCTTAATACTTCAATTTTTTTTTTTCAGCTGGAAAGAAACCAAAAAAGAAGAAGAAAGATGACGATGAAGATTTAGATAAGATTTTGGCTGAATTAGAGATGGAATATGCTGGTATACCAGTTCCTAAAACAGAAGAACTGCCAGTCGAGGAAAAAGAAGCCGAAAAGGATAAAAAAGGAAAGAAAAAGAAAAAAGGCGAAGAAGATAAGAAAGAATCTGAAGATGTTTTGCCAGAAAATAAGGAAATGGATGTATCTCAAGATCAGAAAAGTGTCACAGATCTGAAAGAAGATGTCATTGAAGATGACGAAAAGACAACGAAATCTCAGAAAAAGAAGGAGAAGAAACAGAAACAGAAAGAAAAGGCTACATTAAAGGTAGGATAAATAAATTTTCTAGTATTTATTTATTTTTGTATGTAAGTTTTATTTTGTAATCAATCGTTAATGGTTTATTAATAAAATAAACTTTCTATAAAGATAACCTAGAATGATTATATTTTATTATAGGAGGTAGAACCACCAGCAAAGGTGGAAACTGTAGTTGCTCCCGAACCCGAGAAACCTGAACCTGCTGCCGAAGCAGGAGATGCTGATGGAGACGAGGATGGTAATATTTTTTTAATTTTTGTTAATTATTTTCATTTGATAAGTTAGTTGTGACACTCGCTTATTTTTATTTATTTATTATTATTTTAGATGACAAAAAGAAGAAAAAGAAGAAGAAAGGCAAAGGAGAGAAAGAAGATAAGGATAAGGGTGGTAAACCGAATAAGAAAATGATTGCTGCTATGCAGGAAACTTTACGTAAGATCAAGGAAGAGGAAGAAAAGCAAGCTCTGATAGAGGCTGAAAAATTGAGAAAAGAGGAAGAAGCGGAAAGAGCGAGACAAGAACAGGTAATAATTATAATGAATACATATAGTTAACATTATACATCCAATCCAATCCAACACTATTAACATTATGTACCTAATAACATCAATTACAGTATACATTAATTATAGTTAATATAATTGAACCTCTGTGTATAGGAAGTCTCTCTATATTAAACTTTTATTGGAAACCTTAATTTTTTAATGATGTAGAGATGGTTGACCATTGATATAATATGAGAAGAAGTTGAGCGGGGGGTGCGGTCAAATTAATACTGAATTAAATAAGTAGAATTATTTAATTTTTGCTGACGTTTCGACTTACTTTGCAGGTCTTCACCAGGGCTACAAAAGATACAAAACATGGTGAAAATAAAATAAATAAAATCTACTTATATTCATTTATTTTATTTTTACCATGTTTTGTATCTTTTGTAGCCCTGATGAAGACCTGCAAAGTAGGTCGAAACGTCGGCAAATATTAAATAATTCTACTTATTTAATTCAGTATTAATTTAACCGCCCCCCTTCCTCCCTCCGATCAACTCCTCCTCTTAATTTTTTTAGAAAAAAAAAATTTCTTTATCCAACAAAAAGTCACATTTTTAAAATGTATATAAAATATAATTATCGTATAAAAGTGTCCGTTAGTTTACGTTTATGTTCACAAGAATGAGTTTTAAGAATTAGTCAAGAAAATAATAAAAATTTAAATATGTTTTATTGTTTTTTAAAGCAATGGAAATTGTAGTACAATACTCCACTATGTTCAGCTTACCTTGTAAACTTGCCTCCTGCCTAAATCACAATCATTAAGTGCAAAAGACAAAAATGAAAGAAGGAAAATAATGATAGGACCAAACAGTGTGAATTTATGACAAGTTATATATCCATTTATATATATATCTCTATATATATATATATATATATATATATATATATATATATATATATAGATAAGTGAAAATAAAAATCGGGTCATGCTATCCATCCACTCAAAAACTTATTACGTATCGTTTAGTGGTTGATTAAACACACTTTACTCAGTAATTTGCTAGAATTTTGAGCTGAAATTGTTTCAAAACATCAGGAGATCTCACCGATTAATTTGAACCATCAAATCTAAAAAGCAATCCTGCTGCTCGCTCAAAACAGCATTACAAAACTTGTAACAGACGATCCAAACATATAACCCATGTTTCACTTAGTCGGGTAAAAAAAAAAAAAAATTTTAATTGCTTTTAGTATCCTATTTTTTTTTTTTTTTCAAAGAACTTTCATGTACGATATATATAGAAGAGAAGAATAGTTGGGGTGCTCAGTCAAAAAAGGAAGGCAAAAATAAATTATAATATTTATTTTTTACATATGCCGACGTTTCGACCTGAAGTTCAGGCCATCATCAGGGCTAAGAAAATAACCAGATAACAAGGTATGAGAAACTTAAGTAATGATGGTAAAAAAGATAATAAAAAATGAGAAAATAAAATAGATTAAATCTAGATAAAATAAATCTAAATAAAAGAAAAATAAAATAGATAGATATAAAGTAAAATAAAATTGTTAGAATAATGACTAAGATTTTTAGAATTTTACTTTATATCTATCTATTTTATTTTTATTTTATTTAGATCTATTTTATCTAGATCTAATCTATTTTATTTTCTCATTTTTTATTATCTTTTTTACCATCATTACTTAAGTTTCTCATACCTTGTTATCTGGTTATTTTCTTAGCCCTGATGATGGCCTGAACTTCAGGTCGAAACGTCGGCATATGTAAAAAATAAATATTATAATTTATTTTTGCCTTCCTTTTTTGACTGAGCACCCCAACTATTCTTCTCTTCATTATCCACGACAGTCAACCAATTACCAATTATGGATATATATAGAAGTTCAACTGTATTATGTTAGAATTTTATATGATTTGTTGCTCACTTGAGAATATATATCCAGACTTGATTTTTTATTTATAATTTACAGATCCGTCTTGAGATAGAACGTAAAGAACGTAAAAAGCAAAAGGAAAAAGAAAGGAAAGAAAGGCTGAAAGCCGAGGGAAAACTTCTCAACCAAAAACAGAAAGCGGACAGGGCTAGAGCTGAGGCTATGATTGAGGCAATGAAGGCTATGTATGCTGGGTCGCCAACTTCTCAACCTCCGGCCAAACCAAGGCCTTTTACCAAGCTTAAGAAACCTAAGAAAGAAGATAAACCTGCCACTGAAGAGGTACCGAAGGTCCAAGTTGAAATAATTGAACCGACAAAGCCTGCTACTAAAGAAGAAGTTCAACCTCCTAAGGAAGAAGAAGATGTTAAAGATTCGTGGGATGTTGAATCAGATGAGGAAGGTAAGTTCATAAAATATGGGCTATTGAAATCTATAAGAGGAGTATTCATACAACTTGGGATAAATGCTTAACAGTTAGCATAAATCTTGAGTGAATGACCCTTCTCTGCTAAAAGTGTTATTTGCTATCGCAAATTGAAATTTCTCTTTGTGATAACTATACTTTGGTTCATTGATTTCTGTGGTTTAGAGCTTATATTTGAACACTGTTTATTACTCGATGTGTGGCAACCAGTGTTGGGCGTTATTTAAATAAATTATTTGAAATTTTATCTAGATAACAAATAATAGATAAATTTGTATTCCTTATTTCTTATTCGACGATCTTTGGACAGATGATTATTTGTTATTTGTTATTTACAAATAATATGCATTATCTGTTATCTATTATTCGTTATTTAAGATGAAAATACGATTCGAATAATCTTTTTTGCAATTTTAGGATTTCTTCGAAATTTAGGTCTGTTTATATGTTTTACGGGGCCCTTTTTATAAAAAAAACTGTCAGATTTGAGATAGCGCCCCCCTCCCTCCTCAACCAAATATTTGTATCTTTTCGGATTTAATTGATATAAGGGTCGACTATTATGTTTTGGGGGCCCTTTTGATGAAAATACTGTCAGATTTCAAATAGCACCCCCCCCCCCCTCCGAACCGACTTTTTGTAACTATTCAAATTTAGTTGATATGAGAGTCGACTAATATGTTTTGGGGGTCCCTTTTTATGAAAATACTGTCGGATATGAGATAGTGCCCTCTCACCCCCCCAGCCCGAACCGACTTTTTATAACTTTTCAGATTTAATTGATATGAGGGACGACTATTATGTTTTGAGGAGCCCTTTTTATGAAAATGCTGTCAGATTTGAGATAGCGCCCCCCCCCTCCCTCCCAACCGACTTTTTGTAACTTGGGGGGGGGAGAGAGAGGCACTATTTTAAATCCGACAGAATTTTCATATAAATCACCCCCAAAACCCTGATATGGAACAAATCCTAAAAACTCAAAAAAGTCGCAATGCAGTGGCGTAATCTTAAAATGGAGATAATTTTCAAAAACTATGGATCTAAAAATACACACATTATAGAAAAAAATAAAATTAGCGTCAAATTATTTGAAATTTATTTGAAAAAAGTCGAATAACAAATAAAAAGATAAGAGATAACTTGAATTTATTTATTATCTAGATAAAAGATAAACACAATTATTCGTTATTTGTAGTTGAAAAGTTCGAATAAATTATTCGTTATCTATTATCTTTTATTTAAGATAAATTTTGCCCAACACTGGTGGCAACCCTAATTAATAAGGATTTGAAAAAAAAAATATTTACTAAGATCTTATTTTAGTTTTTCTTTAATTATGGAATGATGAATTTTGTCTTCTTTTGTAGAAATTTTTCTGGGTCTTTTGTTTCATTCCATTCCCTTAAAACAAAAGATGAGAACCTTATAATTTTTTTTTTTTTTTTAATTATGCCTCTCTTTGTTCGCCCTCCGCCATCAGAGACCTTGCACAGCCCAGTACCATTCCGATTTGGACGATGTGGTATCTCTTATGTTCAATGAACGCGAGCATACAACTGAATACGCTGCATCCATATGTGCTCCCAAATTACATAGGTTGTAATATGGAAAGACAGCCACTCCTATGCAAATGTTTCCTAAGCTGGTCGTGGCCTGTTTTCTTCTTGAACTCTGCCACAGCTTCCTTTCTCGTCAGGTTTATGGGTAATTTCTCCGCTTCATTAAGCAATTTTATCCATTGCATCTCCACAATATTGCTATTTACAGACTCCAGTAGTAAAGCCTCATTTGCCTTATTTATTTATTTTCTGGCTGGTTTAATGTCGAGCCTTCCTTGGCCAGTTTATCAACCATTTCGTTAACATGGAGATTACTGTGACTTGGCATCCATTGAAAGAATACTTCTGTTCTTTGAAGAAGTAGTTCCTCTATGATGTTTTGGCACTTCAGAATATCCTGAGCAAAGGAGTCATTGGGCCGTGACACGTCGACAATAGCCACATTTGAATCCACAAACAGTACGGTATTTTGGGTATCTAAGTATGACAAGGCTTCCAGTGCCAATAAAATTGTTTTAATTTTACTGTCAAACTTTTAGGCCTATTTCTCAATAGGTTTGGAAACAGCAAACAGTTGTGAGTATGCATCTGCCCCTCCATTATGTGTTGCTTGTTTGGCAGACCCATTGGTGTACACATGTATCCATGGAGGTCTGGGATAACGTATAAGAGACAACTGGGAGAACCTCATAATAACCTTACAAGTACATTTACGAAATTAGCAACAGTTTTTAAATCGTCCAGGACCGTGTTTAAATCGAGTGAGCTATTGGCTTAACTTAAATAAGTCAATATAAGTTTCTCGATTTTAGCACATTTGAGAGATTTATAATACTTGGCTCTTGTTGCACGAATACTCCTTTTATTTTATGTCATAATATTAGACAAGGTAAGTTTTTATTTTTTAGAGAATATTTTCTTTCCTTGATATGGTAGTATTTTCATCCTACCTGTACTACATAGGTTCAGTGGCTTTTGTCATATGTAGGTTTGGTTGGTTGAGACCTTGTAGGGAGCAGTGTGGCCGAATGGGCTAACATGTTTGCACAGCATCGCGAGTTGTCCGGCAACTAGATAACCAAATTTTGAGATTGGAAAAAAGTACGAATTCGTGTCCCGGTGCCAGAGGGGATTTTAAATTCCCCACCCTCACCATCTGACTCTGGAAAATCCTGTATAGCCTAAAAGGCGAGGTAGGAAAGAATAGAAAAAAAAAAAAAGGTTGAGAACTTGTATTGGGTCAGCAAATAAGTCCTTTCAGTTTTTATGTTTATTTTTATGTCACTGTGATATACTTCTTATCTGATGAATTAATTCCTAAGGTTGATTGTTTATCCTGTTAGTAATATGTCAACAACTATATCTATTAACTCTTGTTGAAACTAGCTTTGTGTTTGCTATTGCACTGTGAATATGAAAGAAAATTCATTCATTATCGGTATATTTTGTTATATTATTTTAAAAAAGGTAAGCCTGTTGCAGAAGCTCACAGAAAAATTTGCAGTGTTTATGGGGATGATTGCCTTATCAAATCATCGTATAAGCTAGATGAGTCTGACTATATTTGGAAAAGCTGTGGATGACAAAATTATAATTGTGTATCAGCTCTTAAAACAATAATACCGTAGTTTATCTGCTTATAGCAGACCCTACACGGTAATTCATGAATGAACGTCACAAGAAGTTCCAAGATTGCCCGTGATCGCTTTGATCATGAAGACCCCTACACGTTCAATCATTACTGTTCATTACTTATTGTTGCTGATACCAATTTAGCTCAGTTGTAAACAAAGAAACAGCATAGATATGCTTATTTGGACATTGCCATTTATAATATTGAGCATCAAGAGAAAAACGGAGATATAATAATTACTTCCTAGTGCCTGAAAATCGTTTAGATCAAAGTTAGAAAAATATAAGTCAACTACATACAAAAATCTAGGAAAAGTATTGCGAAAATAATCAATTTGTTAAGAAAAATGGAAAAATTAATGGCAAATAAACACAACAGTTAAAGATTTTTTTTCTATAAGTAAATTGTGAAGTTTCCACTTTTTTTTCTCTTCAATTTATTGTCTACTTGACTATTTAAAGAAAAAATAGTTGAAAATGGTTAATAATAATATAGACTAGGGATATAAACAACTATTTACCTAATAACGAGACCTAGGTAAACTAACCTATCTAGTAGTAGTCTCATAGAAAATTGTTTTGACAAAAGTTAGTAAAATATAAGTCTACTACTTACAAAAATTAAGGAAAGGTATTGCGAAAATAATAAATTTGTTGAGGAAAATGGGAAAAGAATTGACAAATATACACAACGATAAAGTTTTTCTTTTCCTAAAGTAAATTGTGAAGTTTCCTCATTTTTTTTTTAATTTGTTGCCCACTTGACTATTTAAAAGAAATAGTTGAAGATGGTTTAAAATTATAAACAAGGGATATGAAAAATTATTTAACTATTTACATATAATGAAAATCAGAAATTTATAATGGTTGTGAGGCCTAGGTAACCTAACCTATCCAGCAGTATGGTTGGTCTCCCCAGCCCATATGTTTAGTCGGTCTCCCCTCCACTTCTCGTGAATGAACCTTTGATTTCCGGATGTTCGGAAATCCGCAGCGCACCACCATCAGTACTTCATTCACTACCTTACACGACAATTCGGAACGTCATTAGTACAATTCCGATTGACCGTGTAGGGTCCCCTTAAAAGTCCCCTTTTAATGGTTTTAAAAAAGACAAAATTTACTTGAATTTAATCTCATTTACTACGATATAGTTGGTTCTAACCTAAATCAAACCTTTTTTCAGTTATTGCTTTTTTTCCACATAAAATTTAATTGCCTTAAAAATTACAAAATTTAAGTTTTTTTGTTCTCTGTATGTAATCAGACCACTGTTTATGGTAACTTTTTATAAGAATTAATGTTTTAGTTATTATCAATTATATGAAATTAATGACGATCTATTCTGTATATCATTATCACGAAATTCCCCATTGATTGATATCCCATATAATTCTATTGTCAATAACTTTTTAGAAACAGAATAATAATTTGAACGATCGTAAATGTTAAAAACTTCTACCTTATTGAACTTCAAAAAGGTATCGTCTACTATGAGCAACATCAATTTTGCGGTTTGGAGCAATTTTTGCTTATAGCGGTAATACGATAAATATAATCTCATAAATATCTCCGTAAGGATTGATAGGGTCACTGAACAATCTTTGAGAAAAACCTTATAGTTTTTGAGATAATATCGCTTCTTTCTTTAGCAGTCTTAAGAGATCTGTCTGTTGACTTATTGAACTATCGCCAAGCCTATTATGCAGTTTAATTAAAATTTCAACACTTATCTTCCATTTTAATAATATAAACTTAAAGAACTGTTTATGTTTTTTTTTTTAGATAAATCTGAAGAAACTAGTCAACCTAAAGAGGTTGTTAAAAAAGTGGAACCAGCTCCAGTGGCGAAAAAGAAGGTAGAAGAGATTGAAAAGGAAGAGTCTGAGGATGAAGATGACGATGACGAAGAAGATGAAAGTTCAGGTAGTGACGAAACGTCTAGCGATAGTGACAGTGAGGATGAGAAGAAGAAGACAGACGCAGATAGGCGAAGAGAGAAAGCTCTCGATCGTATTAGAGTAATCAAATATTTTTATTTATGAGTGACTTGTATTTTATTTATTTCTATAGGGTTTATAATACTTTTAATATATTTTTAAATTAGAAACGCCAAGAAGACGCAGAGAAAGCAAAATCTCCAGATGAACTCAGGGCAGCTGTTGTATGTGTTTTAGGACATGTAGATACTGGTAAGTACTAAATTTATGCATTCGACATTTAATGTGTTATATATTCTACACCTTGATTAAATAAATTTATCTAGAAATAATAAACATTTAAATGTTATATCAAAACATAATTGATTTAGCAGAAATGCTATCTATTATTCTGTAGAAGATTAATTTTATTTTATTTATTTCTCAGGTAAAACTAAAATATTGGACAAGCTGAGGAGGACTAACGTACAAGACAGTGAAGCTGGAGGTATCACACAGCAAATAGGAGCCACAAATGTACCCATCGATGCCATCAAAGAACAGTCCAAAATTGTTAAAGGGGTACAATATATTTATATATTAATATATTTATAATATAAGTATTATTTATTATGTTATGTATAAATATATATTATATAACATAAATAATATTATTGAGTAAGGAGATGGTCCGGGGTGGCTAAAATAGTGAAAAAATTATTTTATTTAAAGCCAACATTTCGACCTGACTTTTCAGGTCTTCTTCAGAGGTAGAATGAACAAGATACAAAATGCTGTAGAACAATGTGGAAGGTCTATAATGTTTTGATAAAAAATACAAACAAAGTTAATAAACTTATTAACAGTGTTAATAGCACGCACATAGAAGTATAAAGAACAGAAAAATATATAAACAGAGTAATCTAAGTATAACACTAAACTGAAGTAAATAAATGGTAACAATTATAGTATTATTGTCTAATAATCTACATCATAATCACCAAACCAGTTCATCTTCTTACTCAATAATAAACCACTGTCAACCATCAAGTATTCAGTAAATAATCTAAAAATTGTTTTAAAAAAAATAAAAAGTCAAAATTAAATTTGTACAAAAAATTAAAAATATTTTGAGTAATTTTTCCTCAGAAGAAGAAGAAATAAGAAATTGAAGTCAGTGTATACAAATGGCAAATAAAGTCTCTGCTTGTTGAAATGCACCTAATCTGTCTTTAATTATTATTAGTATCATTTTTGCCTTACTATTGATATAAATATAAACTTGCAATCATTCCCTCCATTTGAGAGATGTTCTAAAGATTTTATTTCTTATTTCAGTTTAACTTAGCTGATCTGAGAATCCCTGGTTTACTTATTATTGACACACCCGGTCACGAGTCCTTTTCAAATCTGAGATCCCGAGGATCATCGCTGTGCGATATCGCCATTCTCGTGGTCGATATTATGCACGGGCTCGAACCTCAGACGATTGAGTCTCTCAACCTTCTTAAACAGAGAAAAACTCCTTTCATTGTTGCATTGAATAAAATTGACAGGTAAAAATTTATTTTAATTTTAGTTATTTATTATTATTAAGTTTATATATATTAAGTTTATATTAAGTTATTGTAATATTCCAGCAATATTACAGCAACTTTTTCGTCAAAATCGGCAAACCGGAAGTGGTACTTCATCGATTTAACACATTTTTATGATTTTTTCAAAAACGGCTCTAATGATTTTGATTAAACTATCTAGGTGAATTTATTATTAAGTGGTTTTTAATTTAAAGTAGATTTTATCCTCATCGATGCAACCAAACAGGGCTTAAATGCCGATTTTTCAAAATTTCTTCCTCTAAAGTACCTTTAATTTTTTATATTTGAAATAATTAACCATTTCACGTTTGAACCTGCTATAAAAAATAGCTAACTATAGTGAATAAAGTAAATTGATTGGTAACTAAAGGGGAAATAAAGGTAGGAAGTTCTGCTGTTATGCTGAGAGCGCCAACCTTTGCCAATCCTCTCTCTTTACAGATAACCGAAAGCACTCTGTACAGGACTTTCATATTGTTAGTTTAACTTTTATGTACCACTTATCCATAATTTTTTAAAAAGGTTTACATGAGAAATATTGAGGATTTACTAATGTAAATGTAATAAAATGTAATATTTACTCTAATGTTAAGTTATTTTTTCGATGATTTTCGAGATAAATGTTTCTGATAAAACTGAGAATTTTTCCAAAAGATCCATTTTCTCCACTATTATTAGTATTGTTTGGTACTATACACAGTCGTAAAAGGAAATGGAATGTGATGCAAACAAGTTTGCAATACAAACTAAAAGTTGTATTTTTCCTATCAAATATATATCACTACTGTTAGTCCAAAAGGTCGTATGTAAATATTTTCAACTTTCATTCTATTTGTGCTAAAGGTGACATTCTGGTCTCCAACTGATATAAGCAGTCTTTTACGATGAAAAATAGCAGAGAGAAAAAAAAACCTGTTTCACTACAACCCATGGAGGGTCTTGGGTGCAGTACTATGTGAGGAAGTACTGTTTCAAGGCCAACGGTTGTGCAGGAAGGTGATGGGGCCGATATCACACTCAACCGCCAGGATTTCCCCCTTAATTATTTTTTGTAATTAAGAGTACCCACTTTATAGAGGCTGGTTGTGCCCCAGGAGGGTCTCCCGATCCCAGGGTCGATCCACGGCTAATGAAAAATTACTAGTCATTAGCAGAGAGAAATAAAATATGAAGTTATATTTATAAATCATAAAGAAATAATTAGTTCTTATGCTCTCCTGTAAAACATTCAATTTTTACGTACAGTCTTTTGCACTAACAGTTGTGATATTAATGTTCAATATGCACTGGAATTTTTTTTTAATCACGATTCATCAGATATGTTATCTGCAAATGCAAAACTCTTTCCCATTTTAGTATTCCATGTACAAAACTAGTGAATGTAAAACCCGTATATGTTGAGGGATTACTGAAGTTCCAAAAACGGCTTCTCCCAGAGGTTTTATTCTCATACGAAAAATGTTAGATCTTTTAATATAGATATTTTTTAGCCAATGAAAACGGTGAGGAAGCTATACTGATCTTACTTGGCAGACTTTTTTTTTTTTTTTTGTTAGATTTAAAACAAAATCCTATCTTGCCAGTAGTTAGTTACAAATTTAGGAGATTTTATCAACTTCACCGAACGACTATATGTAGAATGTGTTAATATTGTAATAAATAATATTGATATTGTAATAAACTTAACATTTCACAAATTCACAATGAGACTTGGCTGATGAGTTAGCTGCATTTTTAGTTAATTCTGCAATTCGAGAGTGGTAGAATAGAAATATGATATGAATATACTGAAAGTAGTGTAGTTTATGCCTCACTCTTTCTTTCATACATGATATTTCGGTATACATTGTAGGTCCTCTGAATTTCTCAGTTTGAAGAAAGCCTTACGCATTAAAATTGTATTGTAATAAAAATTTTATTTGCAGGTTGTATGACTGGCAAACAATGTTGAGGAAAGATGTCCGTGATATAATCAAAGGACAGGCAGCCAACACCCAACTAGAGTTTGAACAGAGGGCGAATGATGTAATCTTGCAGTTTGCCGAACAGGTGTGTATTTCTCAGCAAAATCTATATTTTAATTATTATACATCAGATATATTTTATGAAGCAAGGTTTTCTTCTGATCTCTCCCACCCATAATTCATTTGTTGTCAGTAGTTTTCATTAAGCTCTTGGTCTAGTGAATGTGGTGGCCATTCCTTAATATTAATGTTCATTTCCTGAAAACCAGTTTGAGTATATCGAAACGCATCAAGTAAGGAATATAATTTCCACTCGGAAAAAACATTCAAGCCATACGTTTTCTCGGATAAGTTTTACATAAAACTCACTGTTCGTCCGCTGGTGGATTCTCAACAAAAGGTAACTTCCAGATGCATCAACTTAGCTCTGGGTGGCTTATGAGCTGTACAGTCAATGATGACATGGTTGGTGGTCTCAGATTAACCTTATATAGGATATAACTAGTCGATATCCTGACTCCATATCTAATAAATAGCTGTGACACCTAGTAGTCCTAAATGTGACCTAACAGTTAGAAAATAATTCCTCAGGTTGGTCCCTTTCGTGGTCATTACCCACCACCGGTTCCATTTCTTTTTTCAATTTCTGGGATCTAAATTGATTTTTGCAAGTAGTCGGAAGTGTCCTGTACACCTAACAAAATCCGTTATCTTCATTTTCACTTCCAGAAGGGTCTTTGAAAGTCTTCTGGTTTAAAGATCTTCAGTTGCCTCGTCATTTCTTGTCACCTTCCTGTCTTCATGCCATCCAAATGCTGTGTGCAACCAAATCTTGCATTTCAGATAAAATCAAAAGTTGCATGGTACCTACATCGTGTGAAAAAGAAGATAATTTCTTGTCGGTAATAAAATTTTAGCCCCAAAAAACCACACACTGCTTGGTCACATGCACATCCAATTCAACATTTCTAATATGAAGGGATATTCTCATTATGGAGGATCCATCAGATTTTGTCGTTTCTTCTAATAATGTCAATGAAGAAGTTTCTATTAACATTTGGTCAGAAAGGGATGAATTCTTCTTGGATAAAGCTCTGATGATCGAAAAAGTAATCAACGTTGTCTTAACATTCGATCTTAATTTGACTGTTCTTCCTTAGCTGCCCTGTGTATTTCTATTACCTGCTTTGGAGTGGATTCAATGGCCATAAACTATCAAAGAAGTGTGTAAGAGGCTTAGAAAGCAATATAAAAATAAAAAATGAATAAAAATCCAGTACCTACTAATAACCCTTAAATGTGCCCCAAAGTAGAATAAGGCTGTGTACTCCTGACTTATATTTTGATGCTTCTGAATGTAATAGGCAAATGAAATATTCTGATATATTTTTTTACCATTAACTATAATATATATGTATTATTTATTGTAGGGGTTGAACGCTGCTTTATTCTACAACAATCCAGATGTTAGAAGCTACGTCTCGTTGGTTCCTACCTCGGCTATAACTGGAGAAGGAATGGGAAACCTTTTAGCACTTATTGTGGAATCATGTCAAAACATGTTAGCCAAAAGGTTAATGTTCAGTCCAGAACTACAGGTAACTCAAATAAAAACATTTAATTAGTTTCATTTAAAAACAAGTTTACTTTCTCTCATTGTTGATTTATATTTATGATTTTTTTTTTTTTTTTTTTTTTTGTCTGGGATTCGGTCTAGATAAACTCAATAAAAATTAAATCTTTTAATGAATGCGATTCAATTTTATTTACATTCTACAATTATATTTTTGATCTGTAACACATTTAATCTGCGGAGTTCATTTTCTGAATGAAAATATTTCAATTACGGGTGCATAGTTCTCTAAAAAATTTCATATATAATACTGTCTTTAAAGGGGACCCTACACGGTCAATCGGAATTGCACTAATGACGTTCCGAATTGTTGTGTAAGGTAGTGAATGAAGTACTGATGGTGGTGCGCTGCGGATTTCCGAACATCCGGAAATCAAAGGTTCATTCACGAGAAGTGGAGGGGGGACCGACTAAACATATGGGCTGGGGAGACCAACCATACTGCTGGATAGGTTAGGTTACCTAGGCCTCACAACCATTATAAATTTCTGATTTTCATTATATATGTAAATAGTTAAATAATTTTTCATATCCCTTGTTTATAATTTTAAACCATCTTCAACTATTTCTTTTAAATAGTCAAGTGGGCAACAAATTAAAAAAAAAATGAGGAAACTTCACAAGTTACTTTAGGAAAAGAAAAACTTTATCGTTGTGTATATTTGTCAATTCTTTTCCCATTTTCCTCAACAAATTTATTATTTTCGCAATACCTTTCCTTAATTTTTGTAAGTAGTAGACTTATATTTTACTAACTTTTGTCAAAACGATTTTCTATGAGACTAACCTTCTATGAGACTACTACTAGATAGGTTAGTTTACCTAGGTCTCGTTATTAAGTAAATAGTTGTTTATATCCCTAGTCTATATTATTATTAACCATTTTCAACTATTTTTTTTTTAAGTAGTCAAGTAGGCAATAAATTGAAGAGAAAAAGTGGAAACTTCACAATTTACTTATAGAAAAAAAATCTTTAACTGTTGTGTTTATTTGCCATTAATTTTTCAATTTTTCTTAACAAATTGATTATTTTCGCAATACTTTTCCTAGATTTTTGTATTTAGTTGACTTATACTTTACTAACTTTGATCTAAACGATTTTCAGGCACTAGGAAGTAATTATTATATCTCCGTTTTTCTCTTGATGCCCAATATTATAAATGACAATGTCCAAATAAGCATATCTATGCTGTTTCTTTGTTTACAACTGAGCTAAATTGGTATCAGCAACGATAAGTAATGATCAGTAATGATTGAACGTGTAGGGGTCTTCATGATCAAAGCGATCGCGGGCAATCTTGGAACTTCTTGTGACGTTCATTCATGAATTACCGTGTAGGGTCTGCTTAATGATTTTGTGAGCGTTTCGACTAAAAAAATTAGCCAGAAATTAATTTCCGAGAAGATCCTTTTAAGATCTCTTGGACAAAAGATGCATTTTTAAATTTTAATTAGATCTATTATTAAACTTAATTAGTTGTATTAAAGTAATTTAATATGATAAAAAAATAAAAAAAATATTTTGTCTTCCAAGAATGCACTTAAAAAGGTGATTTTCAATTTAATTTTTCCCAATATACATTGATGTATCTGCAAGAAAAAATCAACTATTTAGCGAATAATGTTTAAACATAGAATAAACCATAATTTTACAACAAATAAAATTATTTTGAAACAAATTATTGAGGGAAATCTTAAAAAATTCTGAACGAAACTTCAAGTCAATCGATTTAAAAACAAATTGAAAGTCAAAAGGGTACTGAACTGTCACTGATAGGATTCTAAAAGTCAATCTCCATCACTTATGAGCCTCTTTTCCTAAGGCTTAAAGTGGAAAAAAAACACAAGGTCCTTACAGGATGATCACCTCCTTTGAACGTGTTATTCTTGATTGCCACATGAACCATCTTCTCTTCAATTATTGATAAAATTATTTAATTTTTTTTATCATAAAGTAATTTTATATTATTATTAGTTTAATCACATTCTTTATTTTATGATTTTAGGCTACAGTCTTGGAAGTTAAAGCCATTCCAGGCTTGGGCACAACTATCGACGTCATCTTGGTCAATGGTTACCTGAGAGAGGGTGAAACTGTCGTTCTCGCAGGTACAGATGCCCCCATCGTAACCCAGATCAGATCACTCCTCATGCCGCAGCCTCTTAAAGAATTGAGAGTGAAGGTAAATTAATCCTATTTTTAATTCTAAAATAGCAAAAATAATTATTTTAGATGGAACTTATTTAATCAAATAAACTCTATTTATGTATAGAATTTTAAATTTTAATTTGGACCTTTTGTAGATGTTTGTTCCTCCTTTGGCATCTTAAATTATATAAATGATAGATTATCTCTTTATTATGACACATTACACATTATAATTCTCCTCAATATTAGGTTCTATACTGAACCAGCCATTTACATCTTTTTATAATTTATGAACTATTAAAATGTAAACTATTGGGGAGAATAAGAACATATAAAACTTGACAAAACTGATAATGTATTATTTATCTAAGTTTAGATGCTGAAGAGGAGATACAAAGCATCGACAAAACGTCCAAATAAAAATAAAAAATCTATAAATCTTGAGTGTTAATTTTATTAAATTAGACCTATTGTCAATGAGTGAGAAGGAAGTAGGAATTAATAAACAAAGATCAAGAATATGAACTTATAAACTTAACATTTTGTATCATCTTATTGTTAACAATTTATTTTTTAATTTTCAGAATGCCTATGTCGAGTATAAAGAAATTAAAGCTGCTCAGGGTGTTAAAATTGCTGCGAAGGACTTGGAAAAAGTTATTGCAGGTAAATATATTTTTTTTAAACCTTATTTTATTGAGAAATGATACATTTTGCCTCAATTAAGGGCATTTAGTATTAGAGCTGTTTGAGACTCATTCATACAGAATATACAATAACTAAAACTATCGAAAAATTATAACAAAAGAAAACTTAATAAAAACAAATGAAATGAAACGAAACTTGAGACAACATTAAATAAAAATATAAAAACACATTCATACTTATTTGTAACTGTAGGATAAGGCAAGACTCTAAGAGATCCCAGTGCTTTTCTCTCAGCCGCATCACTGCGAATCCAATAGAGACTGAGAGAGACCATTAAAGAGCCACATATGCTCATGGCTTGAGAAGAGAAGCTGGCCATTGCCAGGACGTATTTACAAAAGATCTCGAGGCCCTTCTGCTGATAAGGATTGTGCTAAGAGAATAGGTTCTGATGAAAATTTGAGAATCGGAATGGAATAACGTCTAGAACATAAGGGGTGTTAAGGTCATGGTATAGAGTTTTGTTTTGTTGTAAATGAAGATGAAAATAGCACCGATAGACTAAAAAAATATCTACGAGTTTTTTAATTTAATTTTTTAGGAATACAATCCAAAAAAAATTAAAATTTAAATAGGAGGGTTTTTTTTGGGTGAGGGGAGGGGAAGGAATTTTTATTTTGACAAATTGTTTTTATTCTACTTAAATGTAAATTTCAATTTTGTGTATTTCTTTCTATCGTGTTTATGAAGGCTTGCATTTGTGGAAACATGTCCACATAAACTTTTGATAACATACTGAAAGACGTTTGTATTCATATTATTCCATCAGAGCAACTTAATCTGTAAAGTAATTTTTCAATCATCTCTTTGTTTATTTTTATAAACGATAATATAAATGATATAATTGATTTAGCTTGGGACTTGGTAAGGACTGTATTGAAGTGTTTTCCAGGAATCGGGAATGATTGGTCAATTTGTTTTTGTATTAATGTATTGTTAAGAACAATTGTTCATATTATATTAACATTATAACAAGTCTGTATTTTTTTCAGGTCTTAATCTTCGTGTTGCTGATAAGCCTGACGAAGTGGAAATATTGAAAGAAGAAGTAGCCAGAGAATTGAAGAGTGCGTTGTCCAGTATTAAATTACAAGAAAGGGGAGTTTACGTTCAAGCTTCTACTCTAGGATCTTTGGAGGCTCTATTAGAATTCTTAAGGACTTCGAGTATACCAGTGAGTTTTTACTTTTTTAAATTTTACATTCAGGTTTCATAAATCGAGGCTATAGATGAAGCCTTGCACGTTGTAGACATATTCTGGCATTCAAATTTAATTCAACATTTAATTTTTCCCAATCTCATTACATAAATCTTGTTCTCAGAATTGCTTAAATAGGTTGTTTACGCTGCCCATTTCTGCCCTAGATGAAGGATATAAGAGTATTAAAGCCATTAAAAACAACATTAATATTAGATCATTTATGATATGGAATATAATATTTAAAGAACTTTTTATTAATATGAAGTTACTAGTTTTCTTTTTTCTCTAATTATATAATTTTAAAAAAAATGGGTACTTTCGCAAATTATCAGTATTTATTTGTTAAATAATAATAAAAATGTAAAAAGTCCCAAATTCTTCTTATGCATGTCCCCACCACATCTCTGAAACACACTATTGTTTTAGTTTTTACTTTCACTTATCAGTATATGTAATATATAATAAGGGAAAGTACTGCGATCATGAAAATTTTTGAGTTCTCCTCAGTCCAAATAACTAAGTCCCACAAAATGGTCTGTGTGTATGTGAACAGCCTAGCTGAAAAACGAAAAGTTTACGAAAATGATATTATGTATTTAAGATAGGTATATGCCTTAAATCTGACAGCAACTTTTTCGTTACAACTGACCACCCGGAAGTGTCACTCTATATCAACAGTAAAACACATTTTTACAATTTTCTCGAAAACAGCTCCAACGATCTTGATTAAACTCGGTGTATCATTGTATAATTAAGTGCTCTTTAATATCATTTAAGTCTTATACCGATTGATGTCATTTTACAGGGCTTAAATGTCCAATGTTCAACATGTCTTCCTGTAAAGTACCTTTAATTGGGTTTATTTTAAAGAATTAACTATCTTTCATTGTTATGAGTTATGAAAAAAGCCTAAATATAACTTTTGAAAGAATTTTATAAATTGAATAAAGGAGAAAAATGCTTATCTAGGTCGAAAATGAATCTCCGGAAATAATAGTCTGAAGGTATAAGTATAATATATCAGAAAGCAGAAAATTTTAGAATAAATAATATCTAATAAATAAAGTTGTAGAAGATAACGGAGAGTGACAAAAAAAAAATACAAATAATAATTTCTGAAAACTTATCATTATTTAACGTAAATCACATGTTTTCAAGAAAATTTAATGAAATTTTCTTACTAAATGTAAACTTTTAAACATTTTTTAAGTTTGAAAATAAGTATTTAAAATCCACGGAATCAAGGCAATGACATTGTTTAAGATACTATTTCATTGTACTTGTGTGAAAGAAGTGAAATATAAAAATATTTCATGGATATGTTTATAACCTTAAATATACTTATTGTAGTTTAATAACTCAAGACCTAATATTATATTTAAATAATTAGGTATCTAATATCCATTTATTCCATAAAATCATTATGTAGCCTTTTAGAAAATTAAATTAGTGAATAATTTGATGACTTTTCTCTTTGTGAAATCTCAATATTATCCACTTACAATTAGTGTGACAACTTTTGACCTATCTATGAAAGTCAATACAAATATCGTAATTCCATTTTAGTAAACTTTGCAATAGAAAATAATAGTTTAATAACTAATAGTTATCCATAATAATCCATAATCATGGATCGTACAATCCATAATCAACCATTGATGTAATAAATAGGATTTTTGTTATTTTAATGGTATTAATGATTTGTTAGCTATAAGCTTTAACTCGTTCAAAAACGCACTTAATTTATTTTAATATAGTCTTTAATATACCCCAACTTAACTTAATAGCCCAACATTACCAGAAAATAATTTCTATTCAAAGTAGAGTGGTAAGTGAAAGTTATGTGCTGCGCGCACCAGATATTTTAACTAAATATGAAACTTTTTAAATTTCTTTTGATCTGTATCCGATTAAAATTAACTGCTTTTCATTAAATACTTTCTTTATTTAACTATTTCTATCCTAAAAGGTTATTAGTAATGCTTATCATGAATACTGAAGAAAAAATTAATAGAACAATATTATAGTTACTATTAATTATTATTCTAATTAAAATTTTCTATTATTCATTTATATACCTCATTATAATTAAAATCTTTTGGGTTAATTTGTCTATGTTATACCTTTATTTGTACTTAAATCTGTCCTCAAGAATATCTTTATTTAAACCAGTTATTGTCTAAAAAAAATTTTTTAAAGTTTTCTTTTCACATTTATACTATCAATTTATTTCTATTATCTAAATATAATTTAAATAAAATAAACTTATATTATAAACAAAGTCAATTTATAGTATATAAATAATTTATCAAACTAGTCTATTTTGAATAAACAACTGTTATGAATAAACTAAACTATTTTTTTTATATAATATATTTAAACCAGTTTTTTAAAAAAATATTTTTTTAATTAAACTATTTTTAAGTTAATTTTACTTAATATCTCAGCATCAGATTGTTTTAATGTTTTTGAACCTGCTTTGAGGTTTACGGTATCATTTAGATTTTCATTGGCCATACATTGCCTGTAAAATTTTTCTTTTGTATGTAGTATTTTTTCTTTTTGTAAGATTTGTAGATTTTCAAAATCAAAACTACGTTCTTATTGAATAAAAGATGGTTGCATGGTTGAATTGCAGTCAAAGTTAAAAATAATTTTTTTTTTTTTTTTGCCAACGTTTCGACCTATGTTTCAGATCTTCGTCAGGGCTAAGCGAAGACAAGATAGCAAATATTGAGAAAATAGTGGGCCGTAATTATAATAATATGTAGGGAAAATAGTATAGTAAAGTACTATGTGCAGGTAGTTAAATTTAACATTAATGAATATGTGGAATGGGAAATATATGATTTATAAATTAATTTGAAAGTTGTAAAGTAACGGTAACAAAGCAAGGACTTACAAAATAACAGTAGAAAAGTTAGGATGTATAAAATAACATTAACAAAGTTGTTAAGGGTTTATGAAATAATGGAACAAACTTATGAAGTTATAAAATAAAGGTAATAAAGTGATGAAGTAAACAATAATAAAATAACAGTAATAACAAAAAAATTCAATGGAATGCTAAAGTGTTATAAATCGTAATCGGTAAAAAGTAAAATAACTTCATCCTATTTCATTTATTTTAATTCTAAATTAATTTATATATCATATATTTGTTAATGTTATGTTTAACTACCTACTTATTATTATTGCTGTCCATTATGTTCTCAATAATTATTAGTATTATCTTTGCTTAGCCTTAATGAACGCATAAGAACTTAGGCCGAAACGTTGACAAAAAGAAAATGAATATGATTTATTTTTAATTTGACTGCAATCCCCAATCATCTTCTCTTCAACAATTATGCACCATCATAAAACTATGTTCTCTTTGAAAAGCCTGTTCTTTTGATCCAATTTGTATTTTTATAGCCCTTTTATATATTTTTATGTTGGTACATAATCTCATTTATATAATGCTAGATTTCCTGTATATATTTTTGGACAAATTGAAAGAATTTGAGCTAAAAACGCTGTCCAGTTATTAAATAAAATGTGTTTAACCACTTTGCAAAAGATTTTGTGGCGCTGTTTTGAGTGAGCGGGAAGTTTAATGGCTCAAATTATTCGGTAAGATCTCCTGAGTGTTTTGAAACAATTGAGGTAAAAATTATGGCAAATCACTGAGTATAATGTATTTAAACAATCCGCTAAAAGGTGTGTGTAATTAGTTTCTGGGCGGATGGCATGATCGATTCGTAGCTTTGATGACTATAATTACTCCGGGAAGATCCCGTGAATGTTTTGAAACGATTTTAACACCAAATTCTGAAAAAAAAACTTTTATTATAGTTTGAGTATCTTGATTATTAATCGCTTTGAAATGATATCGTGTGATCATGTGTTATGAAAATAAATTTTTAATATTTTAACAACTAAAAATGTTAAAATAAAATGGTATTTGAATTAAAAAAAAAAAAAAAAAAAAAACTATACAAAAATTAGGAAATTTTATCCACCCTAAGAAAATCTATTTCTATATCTATATAAAAATCTTGGTAGATTGATTGGGAAATTGATATCTACGAATATTTAAACATGGTGTTCATCGTCGGGAGCCTAACACCTCCCTCCCCCCCCCCCCCAACGAAACTCAAGACTTGTGGATATCGACATGGGCTGATATATAGAATAAAATCTATTTGCTTTTTTTTTTGTTTTTTTTTTATTATATCCTATACCTTGATCGTCTTGAGCTCTTTCGGCCATGGCCATGCTACGTCTAGCAGCACAGTAAATAAATCTATTTGCTAGGAGCTGTAATTTGTGGTGAAAGGCATCGAACTACTACAGCAAGTTTAAAAATACATATATGTCAATTTCCCTGCAATCCACCAAAATGTTTAAGTAGATATATAAGTACATTTCCTTAGGTTAGATAAAATTTACCAATCTCTGTTTTTGTTTTTTAAATTAAAATATCTTTTTAATTTAATGTTAAGAGTGTTTCAACTGCCTCCCACTGTGCTACGTCCTACGCCCTGAAGACGACATGCAAAGTGGGTCGAAACGTCAGCAAAAATTGAATAATTACTATATTTCAATTTAGTATTTATTTGACCATACCCCCTCCCCTCCCCCCGATTAATTCCTTCTCAAAATATCTGTTTATATATAAATTGGATGGGATACCAATAAGTTATATTAATAGATAAAAAAGCTCTTTTGATATTCTGTCATACAATTCTCCTTTATTATTATGTAATTTTAATTTACATAATTTTTTCAGCCTTTTGCATACTTTACTATTTCTGAAAAGTGTTTAAACATACATTTTGCTTAATATATAACTTTTTCAATAAATGTTTATCAATCTTTCAAGATATAATCAATAACAGTTAACCTGCTTCTTAATTATCACAATTCTTTTTCTTCACAATTTTTATTGTCTAATAGACAATGGTCATTTATTTAAGAAAAAAAACATTATATAAATTATGAAAAACTTAAAAGCATAATAATAATGATTTAATGGATACAACAACTTAATTCATTTTAACTAATTATAAGGTACACCTATTATTTTATAACCTATTATCATTGAAACATCACATTATCAATTAAAATGTATTTGATCTTTTTTTTTTTATCTTTCAATATTAATCTGCACCTGTCGACGACTGTTAACAATCAGCTGATGGTCTGATTAAAGCAACGAAACTGATATATCAGGCATGGCGAAGGATAGCACCCAGCAGTACCTCTTCCCTGGCTTGAATTTGATCTAATTTTTATTTTATTGTTTTTTGCAGTCTTAAAATTTAATTAAATAACAAATAACAAAAGATCAAAAGAGCTTTTATATCTATTAACATAATGAATACTCCTCAATTATCCCTTTCTTCTCATATTCTTTAAAGGACTTCAAAATTTCTTCTGAAAATTTAACCTCTGATTTTTTGGCTTCATGGAATTTTTAATCAGCTGTTTAGGTCAGTCAGCTGTTAGAGGGTTGCACGGTAGGCTGTGGTAGAGGGCCCTAGGGCGGCGCTGGATGTGGGAGTGCAGGAGGCAGGATGGGATCAATCAGCGCTTAAAGAGGGCACTTCCACTCCTCGTTTACCTGCCCGTCTCAATCAGTGCCTCGTCAAAAACCTCCCAGGAAATTACTCAATATCCCTTATTAAAACTATTATACTGCATTAACCGTCGGTATTAAAATTAAATATATAAAAAGTTACTTGTCGTAATTTTATATTAAAAAATATTTTTATGCAAGTTATGTTATTTGAATAATCAAAGGATCTGCTGAAATAAGCAGGCAACAACTCTGCATAATTATGATAAATTAAAAAATAAAAATAAATAATTTTTTTTATTGTTTTAAATAAATATATTATCATTAAGAAATCTTATTGGGTAATCTGAATATCTCTGTCAATTTCTTAGAATGGAGTTGATAGAACCTTTGAGGATATATAAAATAATATATAAAATTTTAAGCAGCTGATAAATATAGACTGAACGAAATGCTGAATTACTGGTCCAAAATTGATACAAAAGATTAGATATACTGCAGATTTTTCTTTTGTAACTGTTAATCATGAAAACTACCAGACCAATTTACATGTTTTTTAACAAAATGGTCTGTGTTGTCTTGAGAATTCCTATAGAATTCCTGGATCTTTTCCGAGTAGAAAGAAAGTTGAAAATATTTTTATCATACTTTTGAAAGTTTCTAAGCGTACACAAATATAAAATATACTTAATTATTTTTGGCCATAATTACTTTCACTTACCTGTATATGTAGTATATAATAAGGGAAAGTATTGCGATCGTGAAAATTTTCGAATGTGAGTTTTCAACGGAAATACACATTTTGAGGTCTCTTGAGTCCAAATAACCAAACCCTTCAAAATGGTCTCTGTGTGTGTATGTGAACAGTCTAGCTCAGAAACGAAAAGTCGTATGAAACTGATATTACTGATTTAAGGTAACTTTTTTTACATTGCTGTTGGTACTCCATTAGATGTTGTTAAAAATGCTACCGAAACAACAAAATATTGGCAGTTCCACAATTATTAGCTAGAGAAAACAAGAATAACAGTAATAAAAGGCAATTTTTCCCTCTATAATTGATTTATTATTATTTTAAAATGAATTTGGTTAAAAAAAAAATCATTAATTACCTGAGAAAGGTGATATAGTAAAAGGATATACTCTTTTGTTACTATCACTAAAAGTTTTAATAACTATTAATTTTTTATTAAATATAACTTTAAATTTATTATCCTCTAGCAATGTATTTTTGAAATTATGGAGATTGTTCACAAAAAAAATATATATATATATATATATTAGATTTTATTTTGATTAACCCTAATGCAATTTGAATTACAACTTCTTTTTATTTTTGCATATAGGAAGTATTTCCCTCACACGGCTTTCCTACTGACTTTAGACAAATTTAAATTACTATAAATTAGCGTTTTGTTAGTGATTTAATAATTATCTTTCAAATAAATATCTGATTATTCCGAGAGATTTTTATTTTTTGATTTATTCAAAAATTATTTAACTAATTTTTTTGGAAACCTGTGTATAATACTTATACAAATTAAATTCTAGTTAAAAAATTTAATCCGGTTGCCCTATAAAAATTTTGTAGTAGGGTATTTAATTTTTGAGGGGGAGCACATTTTGGATTTGCGTTTTTGTACTTAAATAAATCTATAATATACGTAAAAATCTTTTGAAAACCGTACATAGAAAATTTAGCCAAGAAGTGGGAGTAACTTCTTAATATCGTTCTGTCATTTTTTCTACGCCCTTTAAATTTATCTATATAACATACTTCAATGAAAATAAGCTGGAAAAAAGTTAGGAGGGATGGTAAAATTAAATTCCGAATAACTCAAAAAGTTTACACTTTTTTGTCGCTATCGTATATGGTTTTTGAAAATTTAACGAAATTTCCTAAGAAATCAAAAAAAAAAATCGTTAAAATCGGACAATTAGGAGGAAAGAATGGTCTCTAATTATTTTCTCTGAAGAGGTGAAAATTTGGATAAATTTAAAATATATTTTTTTAATTGTTGAGACTAAAAAAACCCTTTTTCTACAGATATTTAATAAAGTGTCTTTCCTAAGAACATCTTTCATAAGAAAGTAGTACCTAAATTTATACTTTTATTCTCAGTTCTATATTACAACACTGCAATCACCACTTCTGGAATCAACTTACTCATTGTCTGCATAGATAACTTTTTCAACTAAAAATATCACTAAAATGACATCACTCAAAAATGTTTAAATTGGAGTTAGTCATTCTGTGGTTTATAAAATCAGATATAGTGAATTGATTTTTATTGCCTGTCGTCGATATATTGAATAGACATTTTGTAATTATAATGGTCTTAATGACTTGTTATCTGTAAGCTTTAAGCTTTAGCTCCGTTTAAAATGCACTTAAAAATTTTTTATAATAGCCCAGCATTGCCAGAAAATAATTTCTATTCAAAGTAGATCGGTAAGTGAAAGTTGTGTGTTGCGCGCACCATATTTTTTTTATATCATATTACTAATGATTAAAAAAAAAGGTTAGTCCAATAATTGGAATGACCTTTTATTTATTTTTCTTTGTAACTTGGAAGTTAATGTTACTTTCGATGTATAATCGTTTGGAAATAATAAACCATTGTGGAATAATTTACAGCGTTTTTTCATTATGATTAAAGAGATATAGAATGAACCGCTTCAATATATATCCCAGTTATCGATCCGGTCGCCATTGATGCCGCTTCAGAGACCAACCTCTTCGTGGCCCAGGAGGCCCTCAAGTTCTTGTAGGTGAGCGACAGCTGTTGCCTCGGGTACCTGCGGTAGGTGTGCCGGCCCCGTAGGCGGAACTTCCTCAGCCCACGCTCCGCCTCCGCCCAACCCTCCGGTACACACCTACTCCGCGCTCTTCTTCTGCCCGTAGTCCAACAATGCCAAAAGGAAAGGAAAGGAAACTACTCCATTTTGTTTTATAGCCCCATTTTGTTTTTTTTATTTTATTTTATTTTATTGTAAAAGTACACGTCCTTGATCTGCCTATTGCTAGTGAAAGAGGGCGATAAAATATACCTTATCGCCGGGGTGTTATGGTCTTTAAAAATTTGACATTTAGTGAGAGCGTTAAAGTTTTTAGAAACGGCTTCATGGCCGTCGTATCGCATTCTCTTTGTTTCATTGCCGGTAAAGGTTGTAATAGAATAAAATAATTAAAAAAATCAACCACACTGCCTTGTATCTCAAAAATACTGATAAAGAATAAAATAACTCGTCAACTTTTCAGAAAGAAAAAACCGAAAATCATTTCACTTTATAATATCCAATAGCATACTGAAAAAATCGCGATATCTATACTAATAGTGCTTCGATTTCGATGAAACTTCTTTCATTTTTTAGGAAATTTAAAAACCTTTGAAACATCTTATCACAATATCCATAAAAAAGTGTATACTTTTTGAGTTATTTGGAACTTAATTTTACCATCTCTCGTAACTTTTTTCCCAGCTTCTTTTCGTTGAAGTATGTTATATAGATAAATTTAAAAGGTGTCGAGAAAATGACTTTAGCGAAGTTTCATTGAAATCGGTAAATTCGTTTAGGCGCTACAGTCTATAGCAACGCAGGTTTTTCGGCCGCTTTTTTTCCATAGTAATTATCGTTATATATATATATGAAAAAAAAAAGCTTTCGGGCTGAAGTGACTCTCCCCTCCCCCCCCCCCAAAAAAAAAAAAAAAAAATTAAATCCTGGCTCCGCTACTGCCTCTGCCTAAGGGCCATACCACATTGAACACACCGGTTCTTCTTCGATCTGAATATATGAAATATAAATTATAATTAGCAGCTCATTATTAAGATGATGAAATGATGAACATTTCCGTATAGTATGCAGTTCCGATTTTTAGTTTCCGAGATATTTTAATCCATATCTTCAGTTAAAGTCGTTACCATTTGTTTTTCAACTCTATTTTTTTCCTTTTTCGCCTCTCTAATACGGCGTCGTGTTAAGATACAATTTTGAATAATAGCTCATTACAAAGAGGATGAAACGATGAACATTTCCCTTGCTAACAATATGAAAGTCCGATTTTTAGTTTTTGAGATATTTTTATCCATATGCGTAAACACTTCACTTAATCGACTCCAACCGACTTTACCCGAGCGTTATATATCGGAAATCTGATGGCTAAATCTAGTTCACTCTCCACAAAAAAAGTGCAAAACGCGCCTAAAGAAATTTTTACTTAAAAAATGATGATAATTAAGCGAAAATCCCACCGTTTACAGGATCTGCGTAGAAGGAATATCTTCCCCGAGAGTAAAAAAAAAAAAAAAAATCAAATATGTCGTATTCGCGATACCCTCAATGAATGACCAACCTTACGAAATAAATCAGCGCTAACAGAAATTTCTTCTCCCTTGCAAAGGTTTTGAAATCATGAAAAATCTCAAAAAAATTCAAACCTAACCAGCGCCCTAGAAAAAATTTAGAATAATTTGAGATAAAAATCCTCGGCACGGTAACTGGAGCGATCTGGGGTCAGAGTACTAACTGGTGGAAAAGAAAGAACAATAAAGAGTTGCTTAAAGAAACTGGTCAATCAATATCTAATGATATGAAGGCAAGGTGTTTAAGATTGGCGAGGATGGTAGCTGTCTGCAAGCTTCTACACGATAATCAATACCTCAATAGTAGGTATAAAAGACCACGTGAAAGGCCAAAAAGCAGATGAAAGTGATTTATCAAAGATGTTCGACGTTTCAAAAAAAAAAAAAAAAAAAAAATGATTTAATTATTGATGTAGCCCAACAACACTTAAACATTATGAAATTCATGTTTAAATACTTTAGAGTGTTTGGATTCAAAGATGCAAAGTTTTGGAACTTTCCACAAATATACACCTTGGAACAATACACCTTATTCATAGTTGTATTTAAGATAGTTTTTATGAAACTGTTTTCAGCGAAATTGAATCTTGTTACGCAGTATACTGGTTTTCGCTAAACTGGTCCCGCCGTTATCTTCCCACTTGGTTTGCGTAGGTATCCCACTCATCTTGTGCGTATTCTTAACAGTTTGAGAGTATTTCTCTTTTGTTTGTTGATTTAATCTGGTCGAAACATCGATTTATGAGAATCGCTCTCAAAAAGGGAAAAGAGATAGCACCAGGATCCCTCCATATCACCCTGTTTTCTGGAATTTAATTACATTTCATAAATGGTCGGTTCTGAATATTATTAAATTAGCAATGGGACAAAGAGGTAGCGACTTGACGAAGCGCCGACTGGAAGCTCTGAGGATGATCCGTTGGAAGTGGCGGAGGTAGGGAGAGGCGACATACCGCCACGGCCTGGGTGATCGGGCGGGCATACAGAGCGCTGCCCACTTCCCGGATACACGACGCCCTGAATCAGTAATCCTCTGCTGGCTGTGTTCTCTTCCCCGCTCCCGGAACCACATCCGTTCTCTTCTTCCTCCGGAGCCTGTTCCTGTTGAGGATGTGCGAGGGGCCTTGCCGCTGCTTTGGACCAACCGCTCCTCCCTGTCGCCATCTTGTCCGTTCGATCGCCATGCCTTTGGAATATTTTATAATTAGATTATCGGAAGTATATATATGAGAAGGAGTTGATCGGGGGGAGGAGGAGAGGTGCCTTCAAATAAATACTAAATTATAAAAAATATTATTATTAATTTATCACGCCGACGTTTCGACCTACCTTGCAGGTTTTCATCAGAGAGGGGCGAGGTGGCCGAATGGGCTAAAGCGTGTGCACTGCACCGCGAGTTGCCTGGGAACCAGATAAGAGATTTGAGAAGATTAAAAAAGTATGAGTTTGCATCCCGGTGTCGGAGGGGATTTTAAATTCCCCGCCCTCACCCTACGGCCCAGGAAAATCCCGTATAGCCTAAAAGGCGAGGTAGGGAAGAACAAAAAAAAAAAAAAAAAAAAGTCTTCATAAGATACAAAATATAACAGGTACATGGTGAAAATAAAATAAATGAATGTTAAGTAGATATTATACTTAGCATTCATTTATTTTATTTTCACCATGTACCTTTTATATTTTGTAGCCCTGATGAAGACCTGCAAGGTGGGTCACAACGTCGGCGTAGTAAATTAATAGTACTATTTATATAATTTAGTATTTATTTGACCGCACCCTCCCCTCCCCTCATAAACTCCTTCTCATATTATATCACGGTCAAAACCATCTCTACATCATTGGAAATATATATATTTTTTAATTTATTAATTCAGTAATATAACATTCTGTACACGGACAATAATTATAGTGAGTTAAGTGAGTTAAGAACTGGTTCACACCAGATATACATAAAGCATGAAATAAACAGAAGAAAAATAACAACTATATAATAATCAAAAATATATATACAACAAATAAAAATAAAATAACTTAAAACATAACTGATTGTGGGTTGATTATTGACTGTCGTGAATAGTAAAGAGAAGGATGGTTGGGGTGATCAGTCAAAAATAAAAAAAGCTAAAATAAATAATAATATTTTTTTATACATTTGTCGACGTTTCGATCTGAAGTTCAGACCTTCATCAGGGCTGTTCCAAGAGATTGCTGGAATATAGTCAAGTACTGGAATAGACTCTTGGAACAGCCCCGATGAAGGCCTGAACTTCAGGTCGAAACGTCGGCAATTGTTAAAATAAACGTTATTATTTATTTTTGCTTTTTTATTTCTGACTGATCACTCCAACCACCCTTCTCTTCATAAAACGTTAGTGAATAAAAAAAAAAACAAACATAAAAATCTACACATATCTATATACAATATTTACAATAGGGCGAGGAAATTCCAATCCAAGCTTATCCCTCCAACTATATAGGGAAAAGGAGCACTCAAGGAGATCCCTGCAGTACTCTCTCAAGAGCGTCACTGCTGCTAAATTCAGTGGAGATTAAGCGAGAGCGCTTTAGCCGCATACACTCATGTCTTGAGTGAACTGCAATGCATACAAACTACAAAGGATTGTGAACACTAACGGATCCAGAATTTAATTTTGGAGGCTTCCGTCTGAAAGATTTTTTTTAATGTATATATTAAGATAATTTCTTCAGAAGAAAGAAAGGAACTAAGTACATATATGAAATGGCGTTTAAGTGAATATTTAAGTCCTATTAAATGTAATCAGACGAAAATAATACTTTTCTCTAATAATTTTTTTCATAAAATAAGGTCATATTTTCCCTTTTTTTTTGGGGGGGGGGCTTCATCCCGAAAGCTCACTCTCCCCCCGTAGATCCACCTGTGGTCGTGGGCCCCTTACCGTTTTATTGGATGATTATAGTGAAGAGTGGTGCCACATATGTGTTGTGTAAGAGGATTAGGATGATATGTAAGTTTCGGGTGAAATTTGGAGAATTTTTCTGGGATAAGGTTCAGGACAAATGGGATGTTGAGGCCATGGTGTAGGGATTTGTTAGTTACATAGGATTGAGCATCGACTATAGTTCGAAGGATTTTTGACTGAAATGATTGGATGCGTTTGATGTTAGAAAATTTTGCTGTCAGCCATTATTCTACTGATCTATAAAGAAATGAATGCAAGTTTGTTGTTTTTAAAAATAAAATAAACAATAAAGAACTTTAGTGAAATATTGATGCTGGACATTCCCGGTGATTCATTTTTTGTACTTTAAAGAGAGGAGTCTCTAATATAGAACTTTTTTATACACATATATCTAAAATGTAACGATTATATGTTTCGTAATCCTACTCTCGGATTATGAATAAATAAGATAAAGAGTCTTTTTATTTTATTCCTTTTCAAGCAAGATCACTTAAGTTTAAGTTTAGTCGTATATTTTGACAAGACAATTTATTGTTTTTTTTTTTTACTAGTCGTTTCTATTGATTAAGTTGCAAACATGTTTAATGTTTTCGCATTACAAAAACCTTTTCCTTATGTTACTTACATTACTCTATGTTATCGTTACATTTACATATACATATTAACTAATAAGAATAAAGCGGATCTATATGATTGTGTTTACGAAGATATTTATATAACGTGCTCATTGCGATAATCAGCTGTCAGATATCCGGGAGTACTCGGTATAAATCTCCTTTAATGGCCGATGCAATAATTTATATCTCCATTAATTAAAGGAACAGGACATCTCTTGTTTTGCACTCTTCTGCGGCGGAAATTGATAAAAGTCGATATTTAAACAGTTTATTCGAGATATCGCTTCTTCACCTACTGCGCACTGTTTATCTATGGATATTATTGCGTATTTGTAAATAAATCAGGTGTTTCGTATTTATTGTGTTCTGCTTCATCTACGTTAAATTTGGACTTATTAGAATGGTAATATGGATCGAAAGACAACTTTATCTTAGTCCATGCTATCATTTTTTTTATTTATTAGTATTGGTTATTTAAGGTGAAGGGAATATGTTTGTAAAATTCATAAGACTGAAAAAAAGCTTAATCACTTCAAATTTGAGTCTTTACGTTTGGAGAGTGTCCAATATTTGGTATTCAAACAATATCCGTCCTAGGTTTTTCTCCGAGACTAATTTTTTTATAGGTCGATTTTTAAAAATTTTATTTGGCGCCCTAGGCGCAATTCAACCAAAGAAGAACCTTGATAATCGGAATAACCATTCGCCGGTTAGAAGTTTCATATACCTTTATATCGGTCAATATATAGATAAAAAAAAAAATAATATGAATAATAAATGTCAGGGCTATCTATCCCGAGAGTGGAAAAATTCAAATAGCTCGGCTCCACAATAACCTCAGTGAATGACCAACGATCAGAATTACACCAGCGTATAACTAGCGCAAATAGAGCTTTCTTCTCCCTTTAAAGGTATTAAAATATAAAAAAAATCTTACATTAGGGGTGTGAAATGCTATGATAAAGCCATTTCTAATATATGGCTGCGAGACCTGAACACTAACCAACAGTCTAGAAAAAAAATTGGAAGATTTGAGAGAAAAATCCTCCGCACGATAACTGAAACGATCTGAAACACATGGAGAATAAAAACAAATAAAGAACTGCTTACAGAAACTGGTCAATCAATATCTCATGATATCGAGGCACGGAGGTTAAGATGGGCGGGGCATGTAGCTCGTAGCAATCAATCTGGAAGCCTCTACGTAACAATGAATGCCTCAATGGAAGGCAAAATACCACGTGGAAGGCCAAAAAGCAGATGGATAGATAGAATCAACAAAGATGCAATAGAGCTGCATGCAGATAACTGGAAATAAATAGCCTAAGATAGGCAGAGATGGAGCAGGCTTGTTAAGGCGGCAAAAGATCTACATGGTCGGTAATGATAACAGAAAAAAAAGGGCTATCTATTTGAAAATAATAAATCATTGTAATGTAATTTTCGGGCCGAATGGCCGAACGGGCTAAGGTACTTGCAATCGGTAATAAAGAACGTAGAGCGTGGTAAGTACTCGAATGGGTAACCGTACACTGGAGAAAGCTATGCAACTCGATATTCCTGCCCCTCCAGGGTATGGGAGGCCTCTCAGCTACTGGAGTCAACTCACACCGACCGGGCGTAATAGTGATTATTACCCTACACCTTTTATTTTAATCGCGATGTGTTTTTCTAGGATGTCGATAGCTAACCAGAGTTATGGTCCATGGACGGTCGGTTTGAGGTAAGAAAGATATACTCATAGGTCTTCGTACGGTTGCTGACTCTGAGCTGCCATAATCTACGAATCTAGGCTAATTTGTCAATGTCCTTGCACCCGAGTGAGTCAGTACGAAGGGTACTGCCAGATTGGCCCCAAAGGGATTGTTTATGGAATCTTGGGTAGGTTGCTACTGCATATAGACCATGGAGACCTGAATCCGTAGTAACGTGAGTTGTGCGAATCCCTTTAGGTTATTTGTTTTTCCACTAGTAATGTACCTCTGTAAGAAGGCCGCATCACGTGACCGAAAATCGTCCAGATTTGGCGCTTTAGAATCGCTACAGAACCGGAAAAAAAAGCAAATTTTTTAAAATATTGTGGAAATTTCAATATTTTGGCTGTCATTTTCTTGAATCACTCATGGAAAATAAAAATTGCCGATCCTTTAGTTATTTAATTTTATATTAATAGGCGATGCCGTTTTCTTCTTGGAATGTTCTCTCTTCAGCTCTGTGATTTTTACAATCCTTCACTGACTCATGTTTTCTTTCTAAAATTACTCAGTTTACCTTATGATTAATTTTCTTATGATAATCATCGTGTCACTATTATTATTGTTGAATCTTTAATAAGGAATTGGTCTGTATTACCTTTAGGGTAATTAACTCATTGCATTGTATGGATATACTGGGGTGGGAGTGTAGGGGTGTATATAATATGGCCCAGTTCTCGGGAGCGTGTGTTAAATGGAAATGAGACCGATCCCGTGAGACAGAAATGGCAAGACGCCAGTAGGTGTGTGTGGGACGTATCTGTCCTCGAAGGATAGCTCCTTAATGTATTTCTTCCATATAATATCTTCAATATCCTTC